CCAACTCTAAGCCATGGTTATTTTTAACTGTAAAACTCTGAGCCAGGTCACAGCTGGGATCTGGAAGATGCAATGACGTCTATAGCCACCCTTCTCTCCCACCAACGCCTTCTTTTCTGCAGTTGCTGGGGGTGGAGACACTCCTGGGAGATTTTGCTCTCAAAAGCGTTTTGCTTTACATCATTGAAGCTAAACCTGTACTCACTGAGATCTGACAGGTGTCTTGAATCTGAAACTATGCACACCCAAAACAAGGCAAAGATCTTAGCGGGGGGTGGGGGCAGCCAGGTAAGATGGACATTGCTGTCACCTACCTGTGGCTAGAGCTTAGATAAATGCCCTCTGGTTAAAAAAACAAAAACATTATATACATATACATATATCTCTCTCAAGATGTCATCCTCTAGGCAAAAAAAATAAAATAGGGCTCTGGCTCCTGCCCCCAGTCCAGTGGCTTTTCTGCTGCAGCTTGACTTTGCTTAAAAAGAGGCTCCCAACAGGATACTGTGTGGGAAAACTGTTCCACCTCTCAAAGGCAAAGCAAATTCCCATGGGGTAAAGGTTGGCCCACTACGGTGCTGTCCTCCTCTCCTGAAAGTTCCCATCAGTTCACCCATCTCTGAGGCCCCTGGTACTTGGGGAGCTGGTGTCTTCATGGCACTTCTGAACTTTTCACCCCTTTTCAATGATTTTGGGGAAAAGCAATTAAATTACCCTGAAAATGGCCTTTTTCATCTTAGACAACATCCTAAGGTTGGAAACTGAAAGAAGAACATCAGATACTTAGTCCCAACTCAGTTTTCTGATAGGGTATATTGTTTGGGAACATTAAACTCCACAGTGCAAGTCCCAGTATTTATTTCTTAAAATAATGTTTTATGTTGTCATAATGGGGCGGGGTTGGGGTGGGGAATTCAAATAGTTATCTATCGTTTAATGAGAAAAGTGGGTTAGGTTAGCCAACAATACAGATACGGGGAGTGTACTTGGAAGAAAACCTCTCTGGGGAGGAGAGAGGTACATTGGAAGTGTTATGAGTTGGCACTTAGCTGTCAGTTCACAATAGTGATGACAGAATTTCAGTATTTTTTGCTTTAATAAAATGCCAGCTTCTTAAAACAATTGTGAGGCCTTCTTTGTTCCATACTTCCTGAGATGTTACTTCTGAGATGTTACTTCCTGAGATGTTACTTCTGGACCAAGGCAAGATTAATCTCCAACTACCTGAAAGTTGTCATGTAAGACCTCCAGGGAGACCAGAGAAAGCTGAAAAACATATGGCTTAAGAACATGAGACTAATTCAATCAAATGGTTTATCTGCTGCCACAGAAATCCATTCCCTGTGCTCCATAGTAGAATATAAGCGCTTCGGACTTAATTACCCAGCCACAAAAGACAAAAAACAAATCTGGGCTGGTATAGGGTTAACTACAGCTTTCAAAGACAAGGGGACGTGGTGATATTCAGAACTGTATCTATTAAATCAAAATTTTTGTAGCTTTCAGTTTGGGGTATTAAACATTTTAATGGTCATTTTCTACATTCTTGAATCTCAACTTCCTTATTCCTACTCTTAACAGGGAAGGGGGCCCAGTACACAATGCATACCAAGCAAGTAACTCATGGTGACAAAGGAATTTTAATGTCAGATGCAAGACATTTATCCTTCAAGTACCTGTGTCTCTTGCCTTGTAAGTCTGGTCAGTCGAATCCAAGGGCAGTTTATCTCCATGCATCTCAACTGGTAGAAGCCAAAGCAACAAGGCAAACAATGAATAGACAAAGAACTCCCTCCATTAGATTAAAAAACCAGCTTTCCAAGTTTCTGGGAAATGATTTACCTGTCCCTACCCTCTAGCCCTCAGAAGCAGCATACAATGCCAATGAGGACTCCGTGGATAGGAGACTTAGGTTCCAAGATACTTCCAAGCTACTCTTCACTACCATTCCCTCTCCCAAAACAAGTGTCGGTGTCAGCCAACCACTGCTATCCTGTCCAGGCTGCTCTGGCTCTCCTTGCACCCCGAGATCATTATCACTTACATTTCATGCAGAGGGCTGGTTATTGTGTCTGATTGAAGGGAAATTATTATAGCTGGGCTACCTCTTCTGCACAGGCCACAGACATGGTAGTATCCCACTGAACTCACATCCAGCTAAACACACTGGAAAGGAAAGCAAAGCTTCTTCTTGAATGGAACTAACTTTCAGAAATTCAGATTAAAAAGCCAGGTACATGTTAAGGTGTAGGAAAGCTTTTTGTGTTAATAACAGTGTAATAAGGTATCTACAAAGTGTTAGTCGCTCAGTCGTGTCCAGCTCTTTGCGACCTCATGGACTGTAGCCTGCCAGGCTCCTCTGTCCATGGGATTCTCCAGACAAGAGTACCGAAGTGGGTTGCCATTCCCTTCTCCAGGGAGGTTATCTACAAAGACATCCTTAAAAATGAATGGGCGAGGGACTTTCTTGATGGTCCAATGGCTAAGATTCCATGCTCTCAGGGCAAGGGGTCTGGGTTCAACCCCTGGTCAGGGAATTAGATCCCAAGTGCTGCAACTGAAGACCCTATCTATGTGCCACAAGCAAGATCCGGCACAGCCAAATTAATAAATTTTTAAAAAAGAATGGGTGATATTCCAGAATGCTGTTTAGAACACAGTACAGCTCTCTTGCTTGGAAACCAGTCAAGGTGTTTCAAAGTTACAAACGAGTTAGCTTTCCAAAGCTTCTCTTTGTGAGTTTGGTCTTCTGACTCATCATGCTGGAAACTTTAGTTATTATGTATCTACATTTTTTCTAAAGTTTGAATGACTTCTCAAGTAGAGCTTTGTTATTGATGAGTGTCACTGGTTTTCTTCCCTTTCCCATAACCACAAGCTGAGAATCTCATTACTCAAAACTGGTAAGTTTGTTCTTATCATTTTGCAGTGACTGGTTAACCAAGTCCAGATTTAAAATGGGGATTTGGGGTTGGGGGAGTTGTAAACAATAAAACGATGAAAACTGGAACCCAAGAAGAGATAAATCACAAACAGTTGGTTTCAGTAGAGACTGTTAAGGTCTCAGAGCACAAGAAGGGGTCACTGAACAGAAAGAAAAAGTTCCAACAGAAATCCTTTAAATTGTAATAAAAATCCCTCACAGTTAAAAGGTCTTTATTCATTGTTCACTGCTGTTGAGTTTTAAACTTTCCTTCTTCTGAGACGATCTGGACCAAGAAAGACCTAGATCAATGTAGTTGTAGTTGGCTTATGGCCAATCCCATCTAGCAGATAAGGGGAAGGACGGAATATTCTTTGAAAAATTCTTGCTAGCTCTGGATTTTTAGTAAGAAGGGCCTTCCTTTGGTGACAAGAAGGAAAGAAGGAAATAATGTAGTAAGCTAGTTAGTGACATCTAATATCAGCAAATGCTTTTCTATTATAAATGCAAAAGGATAGTGACTCCTTTCAAGTACTCCTCACCCAAAATTATGGCTTGATTTGAGAAACCCCCTAGAATTCTAAGTCTTAAATTCTGTAAAACTGGGTTTACCAAAACTGTAATAACCCTTTCTAAAATCCAGTCTTTTGAAATTACAGCCTTATTTTTGTCACTATTTTCAACCATGCCATTTTCATCAAATCTGATTCCCTCATCAGTTTTTCAGACTTCAACTGGATCCAAGGTTTCTATCAGACTGTCCTGCCATCCTCCCACTCCTAACCACCACAGCTGCCCCTTGTGTCTCAGCCAACTAAATCTCTTGGCACTTTTCCTTACTCCCATGGCTGCCTCCACATCCCCCTCCACCCACGATGTCTGGAACAGTCTCCCTCTTCCATCTGCCATTTCATCACTCTCATCTCCATCTTATTGCCTCAAAAACTCACCTCTCCCAGGATGCCTTCCTTAATCAAGAATAAGGACCTCAGACTACAGCGGACATCACCCGACACTGACATCTAACGCACTTTTAGAACAATACTTAAAAGAAGCTGGACTTTCCTAGGGGTCCAGTCGTTAGGAATCTGCCTGCCAATGCAGGGGACACGAGTTTGATCCCTGGTCTGGAAGGACTCCACATGTCAAAGAGCAACTAAGCCTGTGAGCCACAACTCCTGAGCCTACACATTCTAGAGCCCATATGCCACAAGAGAAGTCACAGAAATGAGAAGCCCAAGCACCACAACTAGAGAAAGCCCATGTGCAGCAACGAAGACCCGGTGCAGCCAAATATAATAAATATATTTTTTTTAAGTCTTAGCATTAAAGAAAAAAAAAAAGAGGCAATCCCTTTATAATCAACTTGCAGTGATGGTGGTAATACACTGTTTTCTAATGATAGGACTATGTCAAGAAAACAAAAAAATAAAAAAAGAAAACCACAAGCCACCCTTTTTAAATACTTAAGTCCTTTATTCTAATTCCCTCAGATGCTAAGAGTTTCCTTTTCACTTGTAAACCCTAGATGAAGTCTATTAGCAAACCACATGCATATATACATCAGCCAAGAAGTTTGTGCTGATATTTGCAACCAAGTATATGATATTTGAATTAAGTATTTTGAATGATGAAAGAACTAAAGAATCAGTCAGCTATCAGAGGTAGTAATCTGTGACAATTCTGTTTGCTTCCAATAGAATAGCGATAACCCTCTGAGTTTGGCTTCCTACTGTGCAAAAATATTTAAGGACCAACTTTCAGATGTGGCAGAGTCACTCACCCTCATATCTAGTGAGTTCCACACATGAAAAGGCTTTCCTTTTGTTTTAAAAGTAGCTCTTCCTGTAGGCTACCCTTTCACCGTTGAGAAACTAGGGTTCAGGTCTCATCCAAGCAATGCTGAAATTAACTGCATCATCTCCATCCTCGGGGACCTGGTATCCTGGGAAGCCCCCGGTGACAACAAGGGTGAGCCCAGGACACACGTGTTAGCACAGACAGCTCAGCGTGATGAGGTGGGCATCCAATACCCTAAGTGTGCTTTAGTTACCAGAATATTTGACACACCCACAAATTAAGTAGCAAAACATTTTAATCAATTCTAACAATAACAGAGACATTTTATATCCATTGCTACCTCCTCAAAAGTCTTCTGCAGATTAGCCAATCAGACTGCAGATTACAGAGCCAGACATTCAAGTTCAAAGTACAGTTTGGGACAAGATCATCATGGGGAGGTTTTACTCCTTTCTACTCAAAAACATAAGTTGTCAGGTTAAAAAGAAACCCTCAAACAGAAAGAGAAAGCCTTCTCTCACTATAACCTCTTTATTTTAAATCTGTAACGTTTGAAGGCAAAACATAATCAGAAAACCAACCTCCCAAGCAGGTACAAGAACCTGAGCTGCACTCCTGGGATTACAGACTGGTTTAGTTCTATTTCTACTAACACTGTGATGTGAGGTACTATGGTTCTTGTTTTAGTTACAAGAGGTGTTAGGAATGAATGCCCACACACAATTAACAATAGCTTATCTAGCACATAATTCTGCAGCACAATACCAACAACAGGAGTATTTTAAAGCAGGGTGGAGAAGAAAGTAGACACTAATAAAACTGAAGATTTCCTTTGTTCTTCCCCTCTTTCCACAATGAGACTTCAGTTCAAAAACAAGGCTCCAGAAAGGCCGTGCGGTCCTTTGGCCCGCCACATTCCTGGGGAGCCTCAGGCTTTGGTGATGTATCCTTCTCGGATGAGGAAATCATAGATTTTCCGGGTTTTGTTCACGTCTATCTTGATGAGTGCTCTTGCCTGTGCCAGTCTTAAGCCTCCTTGCTTGTTACATTCGTTCAACAGAGCAGATTTGTATTCTAAATAGGCTCCCGGGACCAACCTCACCATCTGACAGAGCTGCAAGACATGGCAAATTTAATCAACATTAACATCTGTCAGTCTTAAAATTTAATCCAGTAGGTATAGCCATAATAAAGTGTAAAGAGTGACATCAACCTCCAACTATTTACAGGAGCTGCTGGTGGCTAGACCACATTCCATTCTGTCTTTTCTTTGGTGAGAATAGTCTCAAGAGACAGAAAAAGGCTGAGGGTGATGCCGGGAGAGCTGTGGCACCTGTCAGCCGGCTCCCCGGGGTTTGTCGCGGGTACAAATCTGTGTCCTGAGGACTGGCCTGGGGCAGAGGCCCGGCACCATCTGGCTCAGCCTGTCAGGGAAGAGTTGCAGGGCCCGGGGTGGGGGTGCTGACACTTGGGTTCCGAAGTGTGAATCACATTATTTCTGGTATCAGCATAAGCCCGTAGTCTCTACTTTTGTGATTACACTTCCTACTTTGGAAGGAAAGGAGATCTAGAGATCTTGCTAAGAGGTCACTTTAACTGCTAAAGATGCAAAAAGCTGGTTTAATTCTAGTTCACCTGCCATTTATCCAGCAGTGAACAGTCTGGGGTCACCATTTTGTGGGTAAGGATAAAAAACTGCTTGAAACTCTGGATCATTCCATACTTGAATCAGAATGGCAATCCTTCTTCAGCAATACCTGGACATAACATACACTCCCTTCTCCTCCCACGCTCATCTTCACTGTTCCGACCGGGTAAAATCAAAGTCTAATACTAGCCCCTATTCCACTCTGTCTGACCTGAATTTCTGATATGGAGTGGCAGATGAGGACGCCGATCTTGGGAACTATAAAAGAGCACACAGGAACAGAGGAGGAATTTCTCTTTGGAATGGACTTGAGAGCTGTCGCACATTCTTTGGAAAATGCTTGATGATGACTCATTTGAGGCTGGACTTAAAAAGTTTAGAAACAGCTAACAGTCATAAGAAGTCACATCCAGTGATTAAGTGATTACGGTGGAAAAGAAAAGTAGGTCACGGCTTTTTTAATCAAAGTTAATGTGTGACTATAGATGATGATGGATTCCTCTTTTGTGCTTATACACATACCACGGAGACAATTCAAAAATCTTTTTAAGTAATGGTCATATTGTTGGAATAAGAGTAGAACTTCTGAAAAGTGCCCACTCTTATAGGAAATAACCATTTCCATATAAAAGTTATTTTAAGTTTGTAAAAAATTAAATTCAGTAAATAAAGTACTCAGTACAGTATCTGGTACATGATAAATGCTCAATAAATGACAGTTGGTATTATTTACATTTATGTATCATATGCTCTTCTCTCAGCAGATGAATGGTGGCAGGGTGATGAGGAAATGAGTTCGAGACCTGCTAAGGTCGGTTCTTTAACACGGAGACCTTGAGGATGACTAGAGCTGTATATGCACATGCGTGATGTGAGCACAGAGCCAGAGGGGCTTGATCCTGTAATGTGTTTTTCACGACAACTCAGTGAATAACTGGCCCCTACTCTCTGTCCTCTAACCAGCTCCCCTTCTTTTTGTTACCTCTTTTTCTTTCTCATTCAACTTCTCTGTGCCAGGGAGGCCAGTGAGGTTCAAGGGCGGTGCACTTCGTCTACCTATAGATACAGACAGAAAAAGGCATGTATGTTGTAAGAGACAGTACCTCAGGAGTAAAAAGTGTAACAAAGTTCACCATTGTCAGGCCTGTTAGGTACACAACTACTACACATCAGGTACCTCAAAGTTCACTTGAAAATAAAAACAGTAAGTCAAGGACTTCCCTAGTGGTGCCATGGATGATGAAGTGCCTGCCAATGCAGGGGACACGGGTTCGCTCCCTGGCTGGGCAAGATTCCACGTGCTGCAGAGCATCTAAGCCCATGTCCGTGACAGCTCCTGAGTCCGTGTGCTGCAACTACTGAAGCCCTCGCGCCTAAAGCCTGTGCTCTGCAACAGGAGACGCCACCATGAGGAGAAGCCCACGCACTGCAATGAAGAGTAGCCCCTACTTGCTGCAACTAGGAAAGCAAGCCCATACAAGAGCAACGAAGACCCAGCACAGCCAAAGATAAATAAAGATTAAAGAAAAGAATTAAAAACAAAAAAAGGTAAGTCAAGTGCCCTTTGCCTTGATAAAATGCACATATAATCACACACACCTCAGAGTCAAAGAAGATTATTCTTCCTAACCCAGAAGATTCTAAAATCTACAGCCCAGATGTCATCCAGTTAAGAAAGGTTACATGCTGCCTGTCTTGACAGCTGATGAATGGAAATAACAACTCTGCAGGAGAGACATTCCCTAACACTGGCCCTTCTGCCAGCAGTGCAGGCAAACATGGTAATTACCCAGGTACCATTCACCTTGAGATCAAAGACAGAGAGTCAGGCCAGCAGAAGGCCCTTCATTATGTATTATTTGAGGGAATATCTGTTCCTCCCAAAGTAGCCCTGTTTACCTGAAAGACCCACAGAGAGGAACAATGAGCCAGTATATGGCAAAGCAGAGGCTGAGGTGAACTCACATACCTTGCCAAAGAGACCTAAGCAGGAGGTCACTGCCCAGGATGGGAAGCCTGATGTGCACAACTCTGGGGATTTGTTTTGAATGTACACGTGAGTGAATGGGCTGTGTTAAGCAAAAGAAAATGTAGAATACTACGTTACACTTCATGGGGGCGGGGTGCTGCTTAGATGGTGGAGAGCAGGGGGAGGGGCTGTCACAGGCTTCCCTTTAACATCAACAGAGGGAATGGGAGCTGCTCCGCAGTCCCAGGCCGAGCTTGACCCTAAATGCCCTGAAATGGAGATTACGATCACTCAATACCTCACCAGTTCCGAGAGGCTACTTTATGATTAGTGATTCAGGTTTCCAACTCTGCACTGCCTTAGGAGCAACTCAGAGTGTGAAAAGGAGCAAAGGGTCATCTCAACCTAAACACTGGGGCTGAGGGGGGCTGATGCCCGCCAAAGCAGCAATCAAGAGTGAGGGCAAATGGTTCAGAAAACACAAATACCAAAGAAGCTAGGTCAAATACATTCATTCACTTTAACTAGTCAACATTAAATTTTCTTATTTCTGTATTTAGACTGGGGGAGGATTTGGATGTGAGAAACTTATAAAACTTAACTGTCTTGCTATTCCCTAAAAGACTCTTTTCTCCTCTAAATATTAAAAAATAATTACTTGAAACAGAGGAATAAATGAAAAAAAAAAAATCACCCCTGCAGTGGCCTTCTCTGAGTCCTTGTCTGGGTCTTGAATTGGAGATTTTTTGAATGGGATCACAAGGTCTATTTTTCCCAGTTTCAAAAAATGGTAAAACTACAAATGGGTTATCTTTTTGCCAAATCCAGTCTGTAAACAGTGGAGTAGTCTGTATGTTCTCATCAGGGGAAGTGGCTAATCTACATATGGAGCAGGGATGAATGATAACCAAGAAAATAGGCAAACGAACACCAGGATCTCAGATCAGCATTCTACAACTAATACCACCCCACACTACCATTTATTAATTACCAAGCAGCAAGGATTATCAGATATCATATGGTTTAAACTTGCCCTGTAAACTGACCTCAAAATAGGACATGCCGGAAGAGATAAGAAACAGAAATACTTTTAACTCTCCAACTTATAAAGATATAAGTCTTATTTTTCTGGCAAGTAACATGCCTCCGTGCTCATATAGGATACAAAGCCTTTAATTTATCCCCTGTGAGACAATCTTGAAGTCTGTGGTATATAAAATCATAGTAAACGAACTGCCTGTGAACACTGGTAAAATAGAAAAAACACCTGTCTGAGGTCCTTTCCTCCCCTGTCTTTGTAATGTAAACCTGAGGAAAGTTCCTGTTTGGCCATGAAGATTCTAACAACTTGCTGATGTTTATGTATCTGTATAACAATCACCATTCCCTTGCCTAAGCACCCGGCTCCCACAAAGGCGGGAGGGTTTGTTGGGTCACTTTAATTCCCAGGATGAAAACTCCAGAATTGTGACTTGCTCCAGCCTGAAAAATAATTACCTGAATTCGAAGTCATGGGAACAGAAGGACTCAGGCCAGAATCACTACAAAAAAGAAGAGGAATTTAAACTTATGTCACATCAAGAAAGCAATTTCCAAAAGCCCATGAGAGACTGGGTAACATTTATCAGGTCAGCTACTTTGAAGAGAAGTAATGAGACAGACTAGACTATGCTTTTACAGGCTATCCCCACTATACACAACTCAAGAAAGGAAATCTGTTCCAGGGAAGGAAACTGCCTAGATTTGTTAAGAAGAGGTCCTGGTGTGGCACATCACAGAGACCATTCATGAGCAAAAAGCAGGAATTTGATCCTCCAATGAAAATCACGCCAGTAGATACAGAAGAAGAAAGAAGGTGTAGCAAGGGAATACACTAATCTTAAAAAATAAGGTCAAAGTAGGATTCTAGGAGGCCAATTACATTTCTCAAAACTGTCAGTACTGTACTATTTGAGATAGCCTGCTGAAGTTTTCTGAATTCTTCTAGCTACCTAATTATTACAGCTCTGCCATTTAGGGTAGGGCACCCACAGGGCTATCTGAAAATACAGGTAAAGGCCAAAAGCCCCATGAGGTTGTCCCCCAGACTAATTCCTCACATGTCAGCCTGCCGGCGGAGCCACTGCTGGCAGGCACTGCTGTCCTGGATGTACTGGAGGACCTCAGAGAGCATGGTGCGTTTGAGGCGTTCCTCTTCTCGAGTCTTCTTGAGGTGATCATAGGTTCTGGCACCTGTAGATGTTAAAAAAGTGACAACAATGACAAGGTAGCAGAACTAACCAAAGGGCTTCCTAACTCATCAACAAACAGTCCATCTTTTTTAATTTTTAATTTCTGTGGCCTTGCTGTGAGGCTTGTGGGATCTTAGTTCCCCAACCAAGGATAAAACCCAGGCCCATGGCAGTGAAAGCGCAGAGCCCTAACCACTGGACCCCAGGGGATTCCCAGTCGTTTTTTAATTTCCTTTGAAAAAGTGCTTCCAGAATTATTTTTCTAAGAGCAAAGTGATTTCCCCTAGTTTGAAATCTCTTTTGGTAAGAAATGAAAATATGTTTATTCCTTTTTCTACCTTTAAGAAATCTGAGAGAGGGAATTCCCAAAACAGAAAAGTACAAAGAAAGTTGGAGTTGCTCATATTTCCATCCCCTAAAAGTAACTTCTAATACTGTCATATTTACTTCCTGCTTTATTTTTTTCTATCCATATATTTTTCCAAGTCACACAAATTCTATACACATACACTGTTTCTTAAAAACCAGTTAGGATTACAAATAAAAATAAATCCTCATTGACTATTACTATTCTTTTCACCTCTTTCGTGGACGGGCAACCCAAATCTGGTATCAGAGTCTTTATATGCATCTTGCTAACAGCTGCATAGTGTTTTCTACACTATTAATGTATGTAAGATCCAAAATATCAAACCAGTGGGTTTCAAGCCACGTTTCACAGAGGCCCAGGTTACCATGAAAATATCTCAGGGATTACTGTGAACATACCGGTGGTCCTGGGCTCCACACATGGTCTGAATCATCAGACTTCAACCTAAGGAATTCCACTTTTCCTTATGGATTAGTGCTCCACATAAAATTTCATTTTGTAAACAGTTTCCAATGTTAGAAATAAAGAGCCATTTTACTAGGCTAAACTTGAGCAGTGGGTGAACGGGTGATAGCTTTCAACCAACAGGAGGAGGGCATGCTGAAGACCATCGCCAAAACAACAGAACAACAGAGGACTTTGGTGCGTCGGGTACTATACTATGTGTTCACCCATATCTCTCGTTTGGTCTTCACATGAACTCTAAGAGACTTGGAAAACTGAAACAAATAGAATTACAGATCTGGTAAAAGAGCCAGAGCTCAAACCTAAGCTGTCCAAGCCTAGACTTCAGCTCTTAACTGCTAACACAACTGCCTTCTCTTACAACCTGGCTCTACTACAACTAGTTAATCACTTTCATCCTTAGTTTCTCTATTAAATGAGAATAACAATACCCATCTCTTAAGTTGAAAGTGAAAGTGAAGTTGCTCAGTAGTGTCCGACTCTTTTCGACCCCATGGACTGTAGCCTACCAGGCTCCTCCGTCCATGGGATTTTCCAGGCAAGAGTACTGCAGTGGGATGCCATTCCTTTCTCCAGGGGATCTTCCCAACCCAGGGATCGAACCCAGGTCTTCAACACTGTAGGCAGACGCTTTACCATCTGAGCCACCAGGGAAGTCCCTCTCTTAAGTTGGTGAAGTATAAAGGGTACAGTTCAACACATGGTGAACAGTTAGGTGTCATGAATATAATCATCTCTACCTCAAGTAACTGGGATGCAAGTGCCTAGAACCAACTGAAGTGTGCTTAATGGGAATGATCATATGATGCATCACTAAATTTAAAAAGGCTGAGGCTAAAAGTTGGAATACAAAATCTTTTTTTTTTAGAGGTCACAATAGAATCCTAAATCTAAAGTAGCAACTCTGTCATACTTTTTATTTCACCTCAGATAATCCATATAACGGTATTTATAAGGATTAAATAGATGAAACTTTTGGGGAAGATCAAAAACTCATTCTGAAATGTGAAAGCTTGTTTATATGTTTGGAAGGCACATGCCCTCTGATTCAGTGCGGAGCATAAGCATACTTACTACAAAAATTGGTAATGCCTGCCGTCCTATATTCCTGGAGCCTTCTGATTTCCCTTCGGAGTTCAAATTCCACTGTTTATCCCCCCAAAAAAGACAGAGAAAAATTGGAAAAACAAAATCAACATCAATGAGCACTTTTACTGCTAAATATTTTCAGTAATCCTGCCTTCTATATAAGACTGGGCAATTCCATCTGGGGAATCCTAATTGTTGCTAATATCTCATTAGAAATTTTACTTAAGAGCTGATAAAAATGAACTCCAGTGGTCTTTTGGCTTCTGTCTCCAGTTGCAGAAAGCAGCTGGAATTGTTTCTTAGAAAACTTCATAGAGACCTGGCTGAATTCATTTAGCGACAGTAGTAATGAATATAATTTCTCAAACCACCAAGTTTCCCTGCTCTATTTATTCCTTGTTAAAAGTTCTAGCTACAAAGCCAAATTTCAGTATGAAACCTGTCTCTGGTATTACATGACACAGACCTTTTTGCAAGGGAAGGACAAAATTCTGTGCTCAAGTTCCTGATGGTTTCTTTACAGCTTTTCTCTTACAGGGACAAAAGAGCAGTGTGTTTTCCATAAACCAAGATTTCTGCCTCCTCTGAGCACACAGATCAGATTGCACTGCTGAGATTATTATGTGATGGAATGTTCAAATCTGGGTGCTTTGCAAAAGCGGATGAAGGAAGAACCTGGACAATCCACGGGGTGTAGTCCCCTGGAGTGACACATAAACCAGCGATGGTACAAACTGGGACAGGAAGTAAAGATCAGACACCCAGGATAAATCACACAAAGAATGCCAACTAAACAGGGTGTCTGTGAGGACAACCAACCCGGTTCAGATAAATGCCTGCAATGTCATGCAAGAAATATCTGCACAAAGAGAACAGGATACAAGCCTTCATGAAGTACCTTCCTGAACTAAATTTGGGAGTCAAAATCAAATACCTGAATCTCATGATGAAAGGCATAGACTCAGCCCCTCAGTTCAGACTTTTATAGTCCAGGTCTTCCTGCGTTAACAACTTCAATTTTTTATAGTGAGAAATCAAATGATAACTATATAGATCTCTCTCAGAGAAAAAAGGCAGGAAAATGATGTAAGTGCTATATATTATTTCCATGAGTCACCCAACTCTGTCCCCACCTAGAAACTAGTTTTAATACTAAAATAATTATGAACAAAATAATGTGATTTGCTTAAAAATAATCCAGTTGAGGATGGGAAAGGAATGGGTGATAAAGATGAAACTGGATCAGCCACTGGATGGTTAACTGCTAAAGCTGGGTGATGGATACATGTATATCATAGTATAATGAACCCCCATGTATTTGCAAACTCCCATATTAAAAATGGGGGAAAAGCTACTAAACTATTGTTTATCTAAAGGGGGGGAGCCACTAGTATTTTTAAGCTTTCTTCTCCATTCCCAAAGTTTCAAATTTATCTCATAGCAATAAAGGGGAAGAAACAATTAAAAAAAAAAAATCCACTTATTTGTTTACAGAATTTCACATAAAACACCATTATCATTCCTATTTATATAAATACACACACACAGAAACATACGGTCAAGGTTAAAAAACCACCTACATGCATGGCTTTCAATGAACTTGTCATGCTCCACCGGCCCCACTATCCTTGCAAATCGCCTCATTGTTTCATAAAGATCTTGGACTTCCTTGGGATATCGTCGTTCCATTACTACAGAGAAAGTAAAGAATGTAAAGGTCTCTAAGTTTTCTGTATTTTTTTTTAACAAGTAGTAAAATGGAAGAATATTATTCCTAACCTCACATGATTAATTTACCCATGACAGGAAGCAAACCAGAAAGCTAGGGAATGCAGCACTCTAATCATGACGCTAACAGAACCAGAGGGACTATGTCTCAGGGACGCTGTCATGGCTGGAGAGCACCTGCACTCTGGTGACCCCCACACCTCGCTCTCAATCTGCACAGGGGCAGGAAGTTCTGGCAGTAACAGGAAGGACGATTAAAGGCAGATCATGCATTCTTAGGAACAATGTAGGGCAAAATCTCCGGTACTGACTTCTGCAGAACAAGGGACATGTAGACATGCTAATTCATCTAGAAGAGGTAGATCAGTCCGCCAAAAGTGTGTGATCTCTCCCATGTCCCACTAAAAATCCTCTCTGTAACTCCATGTCCTCAAGTGAGGCATTTATTTCTTCACTCTCTACATGGGTCATTTTGCCTTTCTCTAAACTTAATTAAGTACCACAACTTAATATACTGTGAATGAAGTTATATTTTAATAGCTATCATGGAAGCAAATGGTCATATATGCCACCTGGGATACCCTTACAGGTAGCCAGAATCAGCCCCTTTGAGGATCACTACAGACCAAATTTCTAATAAAAAGAGCTATCAGCAAAAAGAGGGGTAGGAAAACCCATCAACAATAATTGGTAGGTTGGAATGATCAGGAATTCTCGAATTGCTACTCAGTCATTTCAATAAGAGTACTAGGCTAGCTCTGTCCACTCTCAGGCTAAAAATAGAGTCTGTTACTTATGATAGTTACTTAAATTGTTGTCTTTTCAGATGAATCTCTTCCTTAGCAGGAAAATTCTTGGCCGCAAATTCTAGGGGCTGATTTGATGGGCAGCCACAGATTCATTTTATTCACCACCAAAAAACCCTACTTCTATAGGGATAATACAAAAATTTGGAGCAATTTCACTTGATGAAAAAAACTCCTATGCCTATGATATTAAGGTCACATGTACATTCAGTACAAAGGCAAGTGAAAACCTCTCAGACCACATTGCACATGCCATGCCTTTCTTGGAAGTAACAGAGCTTCCCCTCAGCTCTATCTGTAAAAATACAGTTAAAGAATAAAGAGGCTAAGCTGACCTCTGTCCACCAGCTGGGAACCGAATTTATGCAAGAGTCAAGGTCTACTACATACAGGTTAAAATCCAAAAGCCCAGCAATTGCAGACATAGGAACACACTACCAGGACATGACCAATTATTGCCGACAGAAAGGGCAAGGGAGAGCGGACCTGGAGTTATTTTTGCAAACCCACAGCTCTCGATTAGGACGAGGCTAAACAAGCAATAATGTACACTGGCAGAAGGAATGTAAATTGATATAACTATCTTTCAGGAAACAATCTAGCAGCATGTGTTAAGCATTTTTAATAATCATATTCTTTGACCTAGTAATTCCACTTCTCAGAATCTATCTTAAAAAAATTCTAGATGCAGACAAAGCTTTATTCACAAACAAGTTTACCTTTGTGCTATTTGTAATTATTTTTTTAACTTTTTATTTTTTTCCATTTATTTTTATTAGTTGGAGGAGTAATGATTTTTTAAAAAACTGAAAATAAGCTAAATATTCAACAATAAAGACAGGTTAAGCACATCATTATATACTTACAACGTATATTATATGTAATAGGACCCAGATAATCACGATGGTGTGATCACTCACTAGAGTCAGACATACTGGAATGTGAAGTCAAGTGGGCCTTAGAAAGCATGACTACGAACAAAGCTAGTGGAGGTGATGGAATTCCAGTTGAGCTATTTCAAATCCTGAAAGATGATGCTGTGAAAGTGCTGCACTCAATATGCCAGCAAATTTGGAAAACTCAGCAGTGGCCACAGGACTGGAAAAGGTCAGTTTTCATTCCAATCCCAAAGAATGCTCAAACTACCACACAATTGCACTCATCTCACATGCTAGTAAAGTTAATGCTTAAAATTCTCCAAGCCAGACTTCAGCAATATGTGAACTGTGAACTTCCAGATGTTCAAGCTGGTTTTAGAAAAGGCAGAGGAACCAGAGATCAAATTGCCAACATCCCCTGGATCACTGAAAAAGCAAGAGACTTCCAGAAAAACATCTATTTCTGCTTTATTGACTGTGCCAAAGCCTTTGTGTGGATCACAATAAACTGTGGAAAATTCTTAAAGAGATGGGAATACCAAACCACCTGACCCACCTCTTGAGAAATCTATATGCAGGTCAGGAAGCAACAGTTAGAACTGGACATGGNTGGAAGGACTGATGCTGAAGCTGAAACTCCAATACTTTGGCCACCTCATGCGAAGAGTTGACTCATTGGAAAAGACCCTGATGCTGGGAGGGATTGGGGGCAGGAGGAGAAGGGGACGACAGAGGATGAGATGGCTGGATGGCATCACCGACTCGACTGACATGAGTTTGGGTGAACTCCAGGAGTTGGTGATGGACAGGGAGGCCTGGCGTGCTGTGATTCATGGGGTTGCAAGGAGTCGGACACAACTGAGCAACTGAACTGAACTGAACTGTTGGACAACCAAAATTTTTAAAGCTTCCTAGTGATGCTAATATGCAACTTGGATTAAGAACTACTGCCATAAATGATTTAAAACTATTCAATAATGATGGGAAAAATTTTAAATTAAAGAAAAATGCTAATACTTACACTGAAACTTCCTAAGGTTGATTAATCCATGGTCTCTTATAATTCTAGAATGAAAAACATAATTATCTATGATAATTAATTTCACATTTAACTATGTCTTCCACAAGCAGCTTTCATGAGACAGCACTAACACTACACGGGGGAATATCGAGGTCCAGAGGAGCCACTCCCCTCAAAGGTCTGCAGCTCAGTGAGGCACTAGCACAGTTTTAGGCTCTCGAGCACCATGTATCTTTCCCCTCCTTGGGCAATGAAGACTCTCAATAACTATTTGCTGGATGAATCAATGCACACCCACAAATACTGAAAAACACGTGTCTAACACGTGTCTGTAACTTAGACGAAACAGAAGGGAATCTGTGTCCATGGTATAAAAATTATCGATTCAGCTTTAGGGAAATGATAAGTGAGAATAACCATTTAAGGGAAATCTGTTAACCATGAAGGGTGCCATGATCACACACTCAATGTTTACAACTGTACATTCACAGAATGCCTTGAAGCTATTTGAAATAATTCTTGTGCATGTTTAATGGAAGGGCATCACAAAACACAAGATCTAATAGAGCCCTTAACAACTGAGTTCTACAATACTGTCTAGTTCTAATTGCATGTTTTAAGCAGAACAGAATCTAGGTAAACCATGCAGAGTTCCATGTCTGGAACCTTCGATTTCTATTGCCTAGCAATGAACCTTCTCTCAAGAATAGCTGAATAATCTTTAGCACTCACTAGAAGCTAACTCCAGATATGCAGAGAGTAAGTTTTATTTCAGATCATGTCTCAGTCCCTCCAGAGTGTCTCCTAAGTCCTATTTCTTTTTCTCATTGTGATGCCACCGTGTTTCTGGTTAGTAACATGCCTACACACACACACACACACACCTGTGAGTACCCTTCTCTGAACTGTTAAAAGTCTCTGTAATCCAACAGAGATCTGGGATCCATAACTTCTCAGTCTGAATGTAAAGTTTTTGTTCTGTTGCAAAGAGAAGGAATAATCAAGAGTGCCTAAAACTTGCTCATGATTCCTTTGAAATCCTTTTAGATAAAAGATTTCTCATAAAAACTCAGCAGTCAGAATGGAGCATTTGAAAAAGCATAACAACTTAATAATATCTTGAATTTTTCTTGTTGGTTTTTTCTTTAAAAGAACATACCCATATTATTCACTGGTCATAACATTAAGGAAGGGGTAAAGGAGAAGGAGGTAAAAAAGCAAAAAAAAGGAGAGGTAATATTAACTTTTAACACATGGAGAAACTGAGAATCAAGGAAGTTAAGGGTATTCCTCATTGAAGTCATAAGGTAAGCCACAAGTGGAGCTTGTTCCTATGGGCTATACGTGGCCAAAAGTCCAAAGGCAGAAGAAGGCAGGATGGTCTCCCAGACTTACTTTTTTCGTCTTTGTCGCTCCTTTAACCTGGAATGATAGATATCCACTACAGCCATCTTCAGAGCTATAAACAAACAAACACTTACATATAAATATAGCCAAGGCAAGAAGAAATCTATTGCCCAAACTGTTCTAAACTTTTAACCTCGTATTGCTAACTACTCCATATTCACTGGTCTAAGAAATCTGTCTCTTGGAAACAAAAAAATATCCTAGAATATTGAATTTCTGAACCAGTAAATTACAGTGAAATTCTTTTTCTTAAGTATATGTTTATAAGGGGTGACCCTATGGATAACAAATTCTGCTTTCTTCTAAACATCTACTTTGACCATGCCTTGCTATGTATATTAACTTTCACATAACAGTTCAACAAGGAGTCTGCACTTTGGTAAAACATGGGCTAGAAATTACACATATTAGAGTTTCAGACTAGGAGAGAGAAATACTGAAATCTAACAAGCTGAGCTATAAGCAGATGCACTATATCCGTATACAACTTCAGTCACCGGGAAGTGACCAGGAATACTTTATCCAGGCCATCCTCCCTTGGATCTGAGATAAAAATAACAAATTCTAGCTGGATGATCTGAAGAGATAACTGAATGCAGTATTTTTTAAACTTCAGTTATTTTTTAAAAAAAATAGAAAAGTATTAGGTATCCCAGATTTGTTGTCATTCGTTTCTAACAAGTTCAAAAATTTAAACAACATTGCTTCATTTTTCCTCCTCACCACCCACAAACTAAAAATAATTCAATAATATCAGGTCCAAGATTTAAGGCAATGGATTGCAAATCTTTTTTTTAGGTTGCAGAACCCTTTCTCTATGTGAATTCTTTCTTGGTTTATACGTGGTTCCTTATAGAAGCATAGATATCACAGAATGCCCAGACCCTGCCAGTGTTTCCTAATACACCTGGTATTAGGTGTAATGACAGGTCCTAGAACGCTGTTCTGGGGGAGACAGGCTTTACGTAAGTCTGTGGTGGAAGTGGCAGGAGGAATGGGGAGGAGACGATCTGTTTTTGACATGCACCACAACCAAGTACAAGTTTTAGCGTGGACTCTACCTTCCTTCTTAGGAGAAAGAGAATTAGGAAGTCAACAGTTCAAGGCAGAAGGAGAAGCAAATAGAACAAATAAGAAGCAAATAGGTAAAGAGCTAACATACACTGAGTATTTATCCCATTCCAGGCTCTTTAGGTGCCTTATCTCATTTACCCACTGAATAACAAGATAAGTTCAGTAGGAAATAAACTACCAGAAAATCCAGTGGGGAGGTTAGTGCTAATTTTGACAAAACAGTTCTGTAATTTTTCTAATATACTAACATATCATGTTGTTTCCTAAGATTTATGTGGGAAAGAATTAAAATAGAAAAAAAAAAAAAACCCTGAAGAGACTGTGTTACAAAAACCTCTATAAATAAATCCTGCTGATAAACGGTTCTGGTGCCTGATCAATTCAGTAGTGGAAGCTTGTACAACCAGCTCTGGAGAACAAAGGGGAGAGAGGGAACACAGAGCAAAATGCGAGGAGAATTGGAATTCTCCCAGGGAAAAAATTTCACAGTTGAAGCTCTCTCTTGTCTTGATGAAGCACACTCGCATCGCAACAACTGATTATAAGGTCTTAACTGCATGAAAAACCCAGGGAGGAGGACACAGCACAGCAGGCAGAACAGAAATGAGAGGGAGACACTGAATGAAGGACAATGGCAGGTTCACACCCTTCTTAAAGTGACTGGAGAGTTGAGTAAAGCAGGCACACAAAGACCCAGAGCTCCTTAAAAACCAACCAACCCAAACCACCCATAACCTCTCCACTGCTGCCAGGCCTCTGAAATCCCAGTCTGGGGGGATGACTAGTCTCCGTGTGATTACACTGGGGACTGATAGCAAAGTCTCCAAATGGCTGCCTTAAAATACTGCAAGAAGTGGGCAGAAGTCAGAGGCAGCTCCTTCCCACTGCAGTGTATTTCTAACATTGTTCAAAATAGCTGGCAACATGTTTCTGTTTTCCTGACAGAAGGCACTTACTGCTTTCTTGGCAAGAAAAGCAACTCCGAGGCCTTAACTGTGGGGAAACCAATCAAAACCTCTACTGCAAGCACACAAGTACAAACCTGGGAATCAGGTATTCCCCAGAATGAAGCTCCTTAAAAGTCACTCTCCTGCCCCTGAAGCTTTTGGCCGAGATGGACACAATCAGGGCTATGAAAAAAGGATGGCTATGTGACCTCATAGGCAAAGTCAGCATCCAGGAAGCCTTAGGTAAGTTGCTTCACTCCTTTGTGCATTTCTCTGAAGGTAGAATGGGAAAATGACTATTTCTACTTCTCAGTAATGTGATTAAGTCATAGATTATAAAAAATGTGAAATCTAAAAAGAAAAAAAGGTTCAAGGTGGTAGATACAGGAAGTCTAGTAGTATTAAGAGCACAGATGTATTAAGCACAGTATTATTAAGAGCTTGAGATGGCTCTGCCACTTGCAGGTTATAACTTGACCTTGATATTTCCACTCCTCAATTTCCCCACCTATAAAATGGGCAGAGTAACACCCAACCCAGAGTTTTGTGAGGATCAAATGAGTTCACACGTGTTGAGAACTTAAATGGTACCTGGCAAACAGAGAGGGCTGTATGTATTAATTATTATTATTTACAGCCTTTAACAGTTAGAAGATCAGAGGTCCAGCCTAGTCACTGTGCCTACTCACCTACCTACTGGCAGTTTCTTTCCCTTGATGGTGATTTGGCTGCTTTTTACTTAGGACTGTTTAGACATAAATACCATTAAGACTGAAAATTGCTGTAGTTGCTCCGTCATGTCCAACTCTTTTGCGACCCCATGGACAGACAGCCCACTAGCCTCCTCTGTCCATGGGACTTCCCAGGCAAGAACACTGGCGCAGGTTGCCACTTACTGCTCCAGGGGCTCTTCCCGACCCAAGGACTGAACCCGCACCTTCTGCACTGGCAGGTGGGTTCTGTCCCACTAAGCCACCTGAGGAGGGCCAAAGAAGGAAAGGCGGGGGCGCGGGCGGAGCACACCCATACCTGACCAAGACTTTTGCTGAAATTAGCTTTTCCAATAGAGAGTAAACTTCTCTGGTGTGCAACCCTGAGAAGTGCTGAGAACACAGACCCAGCACAGAGAAAGGAGCTCATGCAGACAACTCCTGCTTGCCCAGGTCACCAGCTAGCAATGATTAGAAGATGCTGTGCTAAGGCTTACCACCTGGAAAACTCCAAGAAAGACCAGTCTACAGATTTAGGAGAGATCTTCCCAATAAAAGCAGATGGGAAGCAACGTTCCCTGAGGAAAAGGGAAATGCGCTGGGTGTCAACACTGATGTCTCACAACATACTGTGACACAGGGGGCACTGACATGGGTCTTCTGCATCTCCCTCTCGAGACCAATAACTTCTATAAAGTATGAGGAGGTTTCATTTAGCGATCCCAAAACTTCCTTATTGTCTTCCTCAGACATTACTTCACATGCAATATTTTTTGGGGGCCCATTCTGAAAGATCTTTGGTATGGCTGGAATGTAATCATCTATTCCTCCATTGTGTCCTAGGCCTCTATAATGGACCATTTAAACCTCCTTTATTAGACAAATTCCATGAATCATAGCAAAAGCCTTGGAAAAGAAAAAGAGCTTGGTGGCATCACCCAATCTTCTAGATGCCTAGGAACAGGATACAAAACCCAGCCAAACAATTTACTTCCTTCTAGTAGTTGTGAGTGAGGAAACGTAAAAGGAATGTTATAAATGTTCAGTAATATTAAGAGTGTAATAGTATAATGGGATGGTAATAACATCAATCTGAATTATGAACCCTCTTCCATTGGAGACATTCACCCTGACTAGTCAGTGTCATCCTTCTTTGTTGGCCGGGGACACAAATAGCAAGCGGGATTCCAAGTGACTTAGAAGAAAGCCCGAGGTTGAATCACTGTCCTGATCTGCAGAAAACCGGTGCCCCCCCTCCTTGCTTTGGGTGTGCATAAAAAGCTCCTTCTCATTTCTCCCTACTCTCCTTAGGCTCCTAGTCCCCCTCACTTGAGTGTTCTGGGAGAAACCGCCCAGCTCAAGGGCAACATGCCCCACTGGACAGTGGGGACGCGCTGCCAGCGGAGGGACATGAGAACTTAGGGCCATCAACAAAGCATCCCTTTGATCTCCAGTCCTGCCAACCCTCTCGATGGCGTCATCACCTTTCAAAAAGCACCCATCTAAACATCTTATAGTTCACTACTAGAAAGGAAGGGAAAGTGGAAGCAGAGATTATTATAATTTTAATTAAAACTACTTATGTATAACAATAACTGAAGCTTTAGTTGTAGTTCCAATGAATTAGAATCAAGTAACTTAAAAGGTTGCAGAATCTGTACAAAGAACACAACTAAAGTATGCTATAGCTTTGAAAAGCTAACTAAAACAAAACTTGCTAATCAATTGCTTCTTATTTTTTTTCCTTTTGCCCTACTTAATTATAGAAAGGACCATAACTGCACCAGAAGAAACTGCAAATACTGCTTTCACAAAGAATGCAGAGTAAAATGAAATACCAACCATCACTATAGTTTTCTTAATAATGTTGAGGCTTAAGAATGAAGACCTTGGACTAAGGCCTAGAGACATGATTCAGCAAGTCCTTTACATGGTTGAGACATTACTGACATTAGAGATTTTGACTTTCCGAAGTTCAGTACTTCTGAACAGCATCTAAAAAAATGATACTTATAAAACTGCTTTTTTGCATTCTGGATAAGAATGATACAAGCCAGGAAATAATCCCATTTTAATTAAAGCTGGCATGTATGAGGAGAAATCCTGAATGGCAGTCTGCACACTACCTTCAAGGGGACCCCAGCCACGAGGTGAGAACAGACAGTAACGCGAGTGACCAGGGCTGACAAGCAGAGACTGACACGGACGACGGATCAAGCACAATGGCTCTAGTGAACCTAAAGTAGTTTGCCTTCAAGCTTTCCTCTTTTAGTTCAATCTGCGTCACTTTGACTTTTCCTTAAAGTTGTGTGGGAGAAAAGGAGAGAAATGAAATTTTGCAAAGAAAACTGTTCAAGAAGTATGTACAGAAAAAATTCTAAAGGTAAAATTTTTATGAGGACTCTTTCTTGGTCTCAGATCTGGTGTAACAAATACCTAGACAGCTCTTCTATGGAGGGAAGGGTAAAATTTCCCCTTCAAGGGACAAAGGACCAGTTAACGCAACCTGAAAACTCCATTTATAAATCAACAAGGAGTCTAACTTGTCATTCCTACCTGGCGTATACAGTTAAGAGAAATAACAAAGATGTTGTTCAGGAAATATAGACTCCAAGGGTTCACCTACTACATACATCACCCTTAATTCTGGACTGAAATGAAACAGAAGATGTGAGATTATTTTAAATACATAGTTCACTGAAAATGGAAAGAAAGGAAAAAAAAGAAATTCCAGTAAAAGTTTAACCATCCACTTTTAACAGCCTTACTGACATTAACCATTTACTTATAATGAAAGAGTTAGTAAATCAGGCTAATCTTAAGAATTCAGAAGTGCTAAAAATCCAACAGTTCTGAGAAAGAAGAAATTTTCAGTCTTGGTCTAAAAACTCTTGAACTTCCATTCTTTTCCCCTGCTATGGGAAATTTGGGGTAACAAATTACAATGAACATTTAGTATCAGTAGTTGCTGTTGAAGTCCCAGGTTTTCACCCTAATTCCTTTTCTTTTAAGGACACAGTGAGGACCATAAACAATTACCTCAGCATAGGCTTGTCTCAATTAAAAGCAAGCTCACATAGTCCAAGGGATGGGATATTCCCAACTACCATTATATGATAAACATTCTCACCATCGTCACAAATGCTCTTCTCATTATGGTCAAATCCCGGCAACAGGATACATTCAGCATCTTAACCACTATACTTTCAGTCCCATAAGGGGCAGGAGACTATCTTATTCATTCTTACATTCCTAGCAGCCAGCACAGTCTCATTACAGGTTGCAATCAATAGAAACACTTATTGAAATGAAATGTTACCGTGTAAAATGTCCGAGTCATCTTCGACAAAATCAATATCTCTCAAGTCCCACTCCGCATAATTGTCAAACTCCTGTTTGGGGAAAAAAATTCCCACCTCAGATCCATCAGCTTTGAATAATGCCTTTACAGGAGCCATGCTTTAAAAGCAAACAGCAAATATACAAACACTTGTTAAAAAGTACTGAATGGGGTACAAAGCCAGGATAACTGCCATTAAGTCATAAACCATGGGAAAAATCTGAGAGGCCTTCAGGCAATACTGACAGCAAAAAAATGAGAAAGCTATGAGTCTAGGAATAAATATTTGGTTCTAAAAGTAGTCTGTTCATAAAATGTAAATCAAGAAAATCTCACTCTGACTAGTCCTTCAAGTATTTAGGTAAGAAAATTGTGTGCATTAATTCATCTGCCTTACTACCACCTTCTGAGGGCTCTATTTATTCCAGAATATTGGTTATACAGCTCAGGGGGTAGATTTGTTCATATTCTGTTCAATGAGTACAATCTGCAGGGGTAGTGTTTGTGAGGGAGTTCTACAACAGCAGCTGCCAAGAACAAAATGCTGACCTGGGTGTGGCCAGCAAAATTGTTTGTAGTCTGCTTAACTTTAATTACCTCCAGGAGTGCTATAATTATGGATGAGGTGATAAATCAAGAGACGTGTGACTACATTCACAAGGCTTTATGGCTGCAAGACCATGTAGCTTTTCTACACATTTATCATTCTTTATATACTTGTGAATATAGTACAGAAGACCGCAAACTACAGCCTACAGCCCACTGCCTATTTTTGTAAATAAAGTTTTACTGGTGCACCAGCATGATCATTTGCTTACCATTATCTATGCTGCTTTTTGTATAATTACGGCAAAGTTTAATTCCAACAGAGACTTTATGATCTACAAAATCTAAAATATCTACTATCTGGATCTTAATAGAAAGTTTCCCAACCCCCTGATATAATACAACCTTGGAACCCTCTAGGTATGGAATGAGAATCAGACTATAGAAACCCTATACCCACAAAGGAAATGGGACTTAAGAAATAAGTTCTTGGTCTGAAGAACTTCTACCTTTCTAAAAAAAAGTTTACAAATGAGAAGAGGCACTCAGATGGAGAAAATGGGACTGCTTAAGCCCCTACAAATTACAGTGTTTTGAAAAGCTTTTTAGTGGTATGGAACCTACAGGTAACAGATAAGGCCTCATCCGAAACAAAAACAAGTTTCTCCTACCTCAATGAAATCTGCTCGAGCTGGCATGTATCCTGCCATGTCCCGAGAAAGCAAGGAGTCAAAGGTAGGTCGGGGAGGGTCATCTGCAGCTGAAAGAATTTCAAGTTTTTCTTAATAACTTAATAAAATACTGGCATAAAAAAAGTAACACAAAAAAAGTTCTCATTTAGACTCTGAAATATTTTTATTTGGAGAAAGACAGTGTCTGAGAGAATAAATAAAATTCAAAAGATCTTTATAAAGTAAAGTAAAAAAGTAATGTTTTATGGAAACAAACTGATGTCTTAAAAAAGAAATTAAGGGGACTTCCCTGGTAGTCTAGTGGATAAGACTGCACTTCCACTGCAAGGGACATGGGTTTGATTCCTGGTTGGGGAACTAAGACCCCACATGCTACAAAGGGCAGGGAAAAGAAAAAAAAAAAATGAAACTAAGGTTTAAGGAATCCTCTAAGTAAATATGGAAAATTCCCTCTGCTTTTTACTTCCCTAATTTAAAAGAAAATCAAGGATCTTTTCTTTAGCATTATAGAACTTAAGTATTTACCCTGTCTGCTTCAGCTCCCGTCTCAATCTCAATTTACAAATCCCATCCAACTGATAGGCAAAAATCCCACTGGATTTGGAGTGAGCTGGAATTGAGTCACTAGTCCTAAAATCTTGCACAAATTATTTAACCTTTCTGAATTTCCGGTTCCTTGTATGCAAAACCAAAGCACTTGCTCTTCCTGTCTCACTGTGTTGCCAAGAGGAAGAAATGGTCTCAGGCATTTGAGAACAGTGTTAGCATCCAAAGGGCTATCCAAACAGGAGATAGCCCCAGGTTTTGAGTTAGTCAGCTATGAAACTGTCTCCAGAAAGTATGAGGAAAGAGCCAGGGGAAAGAAAAATAATCATATCTCATTATCTGTGCCCTGGGAGTCATTCAGAAAAGATGTCCATTTATAATTCATCATGGGTTTGGTTATGTTTTGTTAGACCCATGAGTCCCTAAGTCACATGAGATTAAAAAAAAGGTTTGTTATAATTGCCACAACCAAGTGAACAAAAATAACAAATTGCTTCTTGGACTTAACACTGGGATGGTCAATTAGAATGAGTTCAATACTGGACTCTCTCACTGACACAGGGAGGTACTTACAGTGAAACGGAATGGCTGTGTCAGCAGTTTTTGCCTCCTCTGCTTGCTTCAGGTTCAGCAGGGTAGATGCAAACAGAGGGTTATTGATGAAATGCTTCATATAGTGCTTCTCACACTCCTCCTTGGTCTTGGTGCACATCTGATTGGCTACATCCTGCCTAGAGTGTGGAAAGTGAGAAAAGGAAGCAGAGTTTTCCTTTACACATAATGGTCAACGTATGGTTTGTTCTTTCCATATTTTAAGTCCCACTGATATAATGTGTGGAACATGATACCTCCAAACTGATATCAGTGGGACTTAAAATATGGAAAGAATTTCCCTGTGAGCTAGGCTCTATCGAAAGAATTGCTATAATTAATAATAAGCCACTTCAGAACATTTATATTTGCATATTTTATAGTTTAAAAAACACTTCATGTGAACAAACATTTCTTTACTAGAGCTCTCATGACAGACCAAGCTCTAAGCTGGAAATATGTACAACATAATTTAAATCAATGCTAGTATTAACTGTGTAGTGTATTTACTATCTCAGCTGCACAGATGAAAAAAATGAGGCCCAAAAAGGTTAACAAACTTGCTTAAGAACACAAAGCATGGAAGTGTCAAAGCCACTTAATCTGTACTGAAGAGCCCTGACTCCCAGCCAAGATGATACAGAGGCAAAGGCGAAAGCTCTCAAAGGCCCCTCTCAGCCTCTCTCTTCCACGACGCTTCACTTGCATCGTGCCTCCTAAGGCACGTGTGTCCACTTCATATGCCTCCTAAGGCATCACTATGCTCTGATTTATGTACTTCAACCAACTGTACATATATGCTGATTCCCCTACTAGACTACAAGCTTCCTGAAGGCAGGATGTATGTCATAATTCTTGGCTCCAGCAACCTCACCACCAAGCGTAGTGTCTTACCCATACAGGAGAGAGAAACAATGGTCTTTTTGTGGTCTTTGCTAAGGAAGGGGTACAAAGAGGAATAGCCCCTTTTAGACAAAAAGTGAAAAACTAGGCAAAAGACGACTAGCAAGAAAATGATCACTTTTTTCTATCTTCTTTGGTATTCCCATAGTAAACAAAATTTTATGATGCTTAATAAATATAAGCAAAATGTTAATGGAATTCAAATCTCATTCTTCAAGGCCCTGGACATAAGGGAGGCAGCATAGTATATTTTATCAACATCTGATAGAGGATATACTCTAGGAAATTAGGGCAGGGAAGAGCTATTTAAGGGTCCTCCGGTAACATTAATAAACTATGTGGTCATAAGTCATTTTTTAACTCCCTAAGCTTCAGATTCTTTATGAACAAATATATTTAATAATGCCTCTGCTATCTAGTTCATAAAAAGAAATCATCAGTTTGAAAGTACTCCAAAAAGGTAAAAATGAAAGCAGCAGTGTCATTATTAAGCAGTGTCACCTCATAAGGCAACTGAATGCTGTTCAATTCTGCCATGCTAGGACTGAGCAAGTATCTACAAGCTAAAACCAGAAAACGCAAATAGGTAGCCTATCAAATTTGAATCTCAGGCAAGCTATGGCCATTTATCTAAAGTCTGACTCACTTAAATGACAAGGCCATCTACAGCCAAGAAAAGTTCATAAAATCAGAAAGGAAGAATAACTAACAGAGTCTATACTTCCCCATTATTCAGAGAGGGATAATCAACCTTCCGTGGTGTTGATACGTCCAAAGTGGTCTTTTAGAGCTGGCCAGTCACAGACCACTGAACATCCTGCAGCCCTGTGAGGCATTTCAGCCTTGGAAAAATGCGTGTAGAAGGGAAAAGGACTTGTCTCTAAGTCATGGGTCAAGAGAAAAGCAACATATGGCCCCTAACTCCTTTTTCTGAGGTTCCTCCTTTTAATTCAACAGCACTGTCTTTTTGGGGACCGCTAGAGCAGGACAACCCTTCCTCCCAAGCTCTTACCAATTTCCAAAGCCACAGTCCATCACAGCTTCTAAAAGAGCCATTTCTTCTTGAGCAGTCCAGCTGGGATCAAGAACAGGAAAATCTGAGGTCTGAGGAAGAAAAAGTTCTGCCTAAGAAGAGATAGAGAAATAGAACCCAGCAATCCCAAATGTAATCCTAGTTAATTTAAGTCCAATGCTGTCATTCTCATGGTGTTTGAGAGACGCCCGAAGAACATTATCATCAGTTGTTCGCACTCCCCACCTCTAGTTCTACCATTTTTCTACCATTAGGATCTCCAATAAATATTATCAATCACAAATGCCATTTAGCTCATGTAGAAATACGTTTCTTAAACTTAGCACAAAGGTAGATATAAGTATAATAGTGTGTTCCCATTTAGCTAAGAGAGGAATACAAATGTGTATATTTCTACCTATTAAAATGTAAGATTAAATCATAAATAAATCATATTTATTATGAACATATAAATCATAAATAATAATAGAAGCAAAGCTACCTATTGGGGAGGGAGGGAGAAGACAGGATGGAAAGGACAAGCATAAAAGCTGGTCCTCTCTGAATATTCCTTTTTTGTAGACCTGACTTTGAAAACATAAATACTGTACACTAAGTATTAAATTTTAATATCACAAAAATCAAAAGTAAAATGTAACAAATTAACCTATGGATTAATTTTAAGGCATAATCACACAGAAAGAAGCAATCCCAGGTGACTTTAAAACATAATAATTTGACTATATATTTATCATAGAATATACTTTAAAAAGTAAAACGAACTGCCAAAAAAAATTTAGTGATTGACAACTACTGTTTTCAAGTAGTGTTGGTAGAGCTATTCTGAGATTATTATATGTTGATGTAGTGTGGGATAAAGCTGTTAAGTAACTGTACTGGTGTCACTGGACAGTGGGATTTGGGGCTTGGGGGAAAGAAAAGATAGGCGATCTACGAGGTTATGTAAAACCATGTGGTCTTGTATTTGAAATGGAAGTTTTAGTATGAACTCACTTTGTATTTTGTCTTAAAAGAAAAATTTCCAATATAGAGCACAAACTAGTGATTACCAGTATGTATGTGGGGGGTAAAATATAGGGCTAAGGGAGTGGGAGGTACAAACTGCTGGGTGTAAGACAGGCTACACGGATGTATTGTACAACACAGGGAACATAGCCAATATTTTGTAATAACTGTAAATGAAGTGTAACCTTTAAAAACTGTATAAGACATTAAAAAAAAAAAAAAACCCTTTTCAATGAAAAAATCTAGAAAAAATGACTAACCCAACAACAATGAATACTTCCACTGCCCTGTGTGTGGTCTCTAAGCACAATTTTCCACTAAAGGAACCAGGGCTCTTTCAAGAAAAGGCTCATTTTAGTTTTGGGGAGGAAATGTACAAGATGAGACTGGAACATTTTATTATACTGGAAAGCAAAGAAACTCTCAAAGAGTATGAGGGTCATGTCAAAAGGATTCAGAGGTCAACTTGTAGAGGTTCCCACTAACTAAAAATGGAACATTTTGAACATTAAAAAGAATAACAATTGCAAAGGTTTATAACATGCCAAACATCCTCAATGTCTAGAGGATGCCAAAGAAGGAACTCATACTTTCAAAACTGGTAAACAAAGGGAAATAATTTATCCTGCCTTTCTGTACGAACTTTACCTTAGTGTGATCACATAGATAATGCAAGGATGTTTCTTTTTATAGAATTATTTTAACTAAATTAAAAGAAGTGATAGAATTAAAAGATAACTATGCATTTTGCAATCCTAGATGAACAAATCTAGACAATGATCGTGAATGAATATGATATATCCAATATACGTTACTACTAATTTGTAGGAAACACAGAAGTCAGAGGAACATGTTAATCGGCCAAATCTAGACTGTGCTAACATCTGTAAGACAGACAACTCAGGTTTTTAAACAATCAAACTGTATGAAACAAGAGAAAGAGTGAGGGAGGGGTAGGAAGGAGAGGAAGAACCCACAGGATAAATATATGAGGCAACCAACCTAGAATAGTTAGAAAAAAAAAACAACAAACGTCACACAAGAGCCTGGGCTTCCCTGGTGGCTCAGGGCGAAGGACCTGACTACAATGCAGGAGACGCACAGGAGACATGGGTTCAATCCCTGGGTGGGAAAGACCCCCTGGAGAAGAAAATGGCAGTATTCTTGTCTGGGAAATTCTACAGACAGAGGACCCTGGCAGGCTATAGTCCATGGGGTTGCAAAGAGTTGAACACGACTGAGTACTTCCTATACACGCGCACACATGCATGCACGCACACACACACACAAAGATCTTTAGGAATTCTCCTAGTGGTCCAGTGGCTAGGACTCTGCTCTCAACATAGGGGGTGCAATTTTGAACTCTGGTCAAGGAGCTGGCATGCTACAACTAAGAGTTCGCATGCCACAACGAGAGAAGATCCCCACAACTAAGACCCAGCACGGCCAAATAAATAAATAAATAGAAGAGTGATCCTTCAATCACACAGGTGTTTAGAAATTGTTCTATCTTCTGTTAATGACACACACACATAAAAAACCCTCTGTGATCTGTCAAATTATATTACTAATAAGCAATACATTTTATCTGAGCACTTACTAGGAATATGCCTCACGTGAGGTACTATGAGATCCAAACGAGAAATTTCAGAGCCTGTATCTGTATTAAATTCAAAATAATCACTCAATCTGGAAAGTACTATGCTGCTGCTGCTGCTGCTAAGTTGCTTCACTCGTGTCCAACTCAGATGGCAGCCCACCAGACTTCCCCATCCCTGGGATTCTCCAGGCAAGTACATGGAGTGGGTTGCCATTTCCTTCTCCAATGCATGAAAGTGAAAAGTGAAAGTGAAGTCGCCCAGTCATGTCCGACTCTTAAGCGACCCCATGGACTGCAGCCTACCAGGCTCCTCCGTCCACAGGGAAGTACCATGCTGCTAAGTCACTTCAGTCGTGTCCGACTCTGTGCAACCCCATAGACGGCAGCCCACCAGGGTCCCCTGTCCCTGGGATTCTCCAGGCAAGAACACTGGAGTGGGTCGCCACTGCCTTCTCCAATGTGTGAAAGTGACAAGTGAAAGTGAAGTCGCTCAGTCGTGTCCAACTCTTCGCAACACCATGGACTGCAGCCTACCAGGCTCCCCCATCCATGGGATTTTCCATACTGGAGTGGGGTGCCATTGCCTTCACCGGGAAAGTACCATAAATACAGGCAACTACAACAACTCATAGTTGGAAAGCCTGTATTTCTGAAAGTGCGTTTTCTAATATTAATTAGCTCTCACCAACCTTACTATAAGATAAACCAGAAAGACTTTCTACGCCAAAACTAAATGGGCATATAAGGCAGTTTTTCTTAAAGTTAAATCAGTGTTTTTCAATCTCTGAACCCAATCTTGGCCCTACTGAACAAGAATCTCTAATAGCAAGGTCTAGGAATCTATAATATTAAGAAGCCCCCAGATGATTCTTATGCACTGAAGTTTAAGAATCACTGGTATAAAGGGTGTGGCAAAACACGGTGCCTTGACTTGCGCAAGGTTCTAAGAATTATAAGACAAAAACAGGCAAAGAACTCAGAAATGCTGATTAATGCACCACCCACCACAGCATGAGTAACTTCCAAAAATACAGCACTGTGAGATGGCAAAAGTACTGAAAGCCATTTAAAGTTTTTTGAGGCTTCATATAGGGGGAAAAGAAAAAATCAAGGTTTTAGTGACTTCATGTACAGAAAACCAAAATGTGGTCATCATTCCTATGGAAGGAGATTCATCTTTTCCTTATCTGGGAGTAAAGACTAGAAGAAACAAAAAGAGCATTAGTAATCTCCAAAAGCGCTATAAAGAACAGAATTCTGCAATGTGTTTGTATGGGTGTAGAATATGTGAGAAAAGAATGATGTAATCTGAAGAGTTAGAGGGACTTGGAGTGAAACTTCGTGCCATCAGCATTAGGCAGAAGGGATGGTGCCCAGAATAGTTAAAGTGAGTTCATGGTCAGTCTTCCTGCAGAGGATAATCTCAATCTACTCAAAGTACACTGAATCACAATTCAAATAAATACATACATATTCTGCTTCTTAGCATTCTTATGTGAATTTGGGATGAATAAAGGTAACTTTTGAAGATGGGATAACCTTAGTGAAATGAACTCAGAGCCACAGCTACTCTGACCACACTCTTCCTCCAACCCTGCATTCATTTTGCAATTAACAAAAGGGAAACAAAAGGGAAAAAAACTCATATTTCATATATTCCATATCATATGTTGTCAGAGAAATGCAAGTTAAAATGAGACAGCACCATATACCTATCAGAATGGCCAAAACCCAGAAAACTGACACCACCAAATGCTGGCAAGGGTGTGGAGCAACAGGAACTCTCTCCCACTGCTGGTGGGAATGCAAAATGGCACAGCCACTTTGGGCAGTGTGACAGTTTCTTACAAAACGAAACATACTCATACCATATGATCCAGCAACCATTTTCTTGGTATTTACCCAAAGGAACTGAAAACTCAGGTCTGAAGAAAAACCTGTATGTGGATATCTTTATTCTTAATTGTCAAAAATTGGAAGCAACCAAGATATCCTTCAGTAGGTGGATGGATAAATAAACTGTGGTACATCTAGACAACAGACTATTATTCAGGGCTAAAAAAGAAACAAGCTATCAAGCCATGAAAAGACATGCAGGAAACTTATACATGTATTACTTAGTGAAAGAAGCCAATCTGAAAAGGGTACACTCTATGACATTTTGGATCCCAACTCTATGACATTTTGGAAAAGGCAAAACCATGGAGGTCATAAAAAGATCCATGGTTGCCAGGAGTTAGGGGGAGAGGTGGATGAAGAGGCAGAACACAGAAGACTTTTAGGACCATGAAACTACTCTGTATGATACTATAATGGTAGATATATGTCATTCTGTATTTCCACAAATCTACAGAATGTGTTAACATGCAGAGTGAACCCTAATATAAACTATGGACTTTGGGTGATAATGAGGATCAATGTAGGTTCCTCAGTGATAATTTAGGTACAATTCTGGTGGGGGATGCTGATAATAGGGGAGGCTATGCATTTGTGGGGGTAAAGGATACAGGTGAAATTTCTGTACCTTGTACTCAATTTTGCTGTGAACTTATAACTGATCTAAAAATCAAAGCCTAATATTAAAAAATATATTCCAAACCTTATAATTAGTGAAGAAACTAGTTAGAAGACTGAAGGTGTTGAGAGAGAGTTGGGGAAGGCCGGACAGTTGGCTGCCAAGAACTCTTAGTAAGGAGCATTTCTTTGACTAATTCATTATGGACCAGGACCTGACTCTTGGTATTATGGGACCAGAAATTCACTCAAGGCTTCACAAATCTGAGTTACCCTTTTCAAACTGCTAAAAGACAGAAGTAGACAGGCAACAGCACTGTGGCAGACAGAATTCTCAAGGTGGCCCCCACTCCCCAAAGATTCTTGTCCCCTGATTAGTCAAACACTAACTAAATATTCCTGTGAAGGGACTATGCTGACCAGGTACTAATTAACTGACTGGAAAATAGGGCGATTATGCAGGTGAATCCACTATAATCACATAGGCCTTAAGAGACAGAGAAGAGTCAGAGAGATCCAGCACAGAAGTCATGAACCAGGAGAGGTCAGAGAGGCCAATTATTTCATCAATAACCTTCAAGGCCTCCCTGCTGTTGGTGGCTTTGAATATGGACAAAGGGAGTCAGGAAACTCTAAAGGCTGAGAGCAAATCCTGGCCAACAATCAAGAAGGAAACAGTATTATCACTCCTACAACCTCCAGGCAGTCATTCTGTCAACAACTTGAATGAGAATGGGAAGGGACTGAAAGCGGATTCTCCCCTAGGGTCTCCAGATAAAAATCCAGACAGACCAACACTTTAATTTCAGCCTTACCGAATCTGGAGCAAACCAATGAACATAATTGGTGTTTTGACCAACAGAACTGTGAGATGATAAATTCCTGTTGTCTTAAGCTGTTTCATTTTTGGTAAGTTGTTATGATAGCAAGAGAAAACTACACAGGTATCAATCGATTAATCCATGACATGAAACTACTGTCAAGAAGATGCCCAACCAGCACTCCTTCCTTTAAGAAAAACCAACAAAGGAGGCCAAATGTAAGAAAACTACTTGGTGAACCAGGAGATAGGCTCTGATAACAGACAAAGGTACTGTATACACGCCTGCCAAGCATACCAGATATTTACTTTGGCTTAGTAAAGTGCCCAAGCCTCGGGCTAGATACTGGAATGAATGCTGTCACTTCAGTCGTGTCTGACTCTATGCGACCCTGCCAGCTGTCCATGGGATTCTCCAAGCAAGAATACTGGAGTGGGTTCCCATTTCGTTCTCCAAGATACTGGAAGGACACTACTAATATCCATCCGTCCCTCATTCCTTCTTTACAAATGTCAAAAAAATCAATCGAATTATAGCCAAGTCTTACTCTGGCCTATGAGTCAATCTATCTCTTCAAAGTGATTTTATGTATTACTATATCATTGACCCTATATTCAATTTACAACTTAACTCTCCGAGGGTAACTAATTTCTCCAAGGCCAAGAAGGTGGAGCGCCAGACATAAATCTCACCACTGCCCACACGAACCACAAAAAAATACCATTAGCCAAACACAGCAACAATACATTTACTATGTTTATAAACAAACCTAGAAAGCAGTACACCTCTGATCCTTACACAGTAAATCTCAAAGAATACTTCCTTTAAATTCCTTCTAAATTAAACCAAAAATCTGAGTATGTAAAATGATTTTCAGACTTGAATGCTTTAGTAGATCCATAAAATCCTAAAAAGCTTATTGGGCAATGATTACCTAATTCAGACGTGGGGGAAAGAAAAGGCAGATACTTGCACATGAAGAAAGAATAATATCCAGTACAAAACTGAAAATGAAGGGAAATTCCTACAACTTCATTACCATTATTTCATAAGTATGATCACTTTGATGTTTCTTGTACTCAAATCCTCGCGTGAAACACTGCAAAAGAAACGAAAATTAAGTTACCAAAAAGTTACATTTTGAAATGCTTTCTTAAAGGATAGAAGATGACTTGTGGGTATTTTACTCTTCAGTGAGTTTTTAAGAATTCATTTACTCTTGTTTGCAGCCACAACTCAAAGGTTAGGTTCATGATCACAGCTTTTCAATGGCCCTCACAGAGGAAAAAACAACAATCTCGGCAAAAAGACTTATTCCTAGGATAACTCCTCCTTTTAGAAGAGCATAAGCCCTGGAAGCAGACTGCCTAAATTTGAATCCTTGCTCTTAGTGTATCTCAGCAATTCTAAGATATATTTTGTCATATTTCATCAATAACCTTCAAGGCCTCCCTGCTGTTGGTGGCTTTGAATATGGACAAAGGGAGTCAGGAAACTCTAAAGGCTGAGAGCAAATCCTGGCCAACAATCAAGAAGGAAACAGTATTATCACTCCTACAACCTCCAGGCAGTCATTCTGTCAACAACTTGAATGAGAATGGGAAGGGACTGAAAGCGGATTCTCCCCTAGGGTCTCCAGATAAAAATCCAGACAGACCAACACTTTAATTTCAGCCTTACCGAATCTGGAGCAAACCAATGAACATAATTGGTGTTTTGACCAACAGAACTGTGAGATGATAAATTCCTGTTGTCTTAAGCTGTTTCATTTTTGGTAAGTTGTTATGATAGCAAGAGAAAACTACACAGGTATCAATCGATTAATCCATGACATGAAACTACTGTCAAGAAGATGCCCAACCAGCACTCCTTCCTTTAAGAAAAACCAACAAAGGAGGCCAAATGTAAGAAAACTACTTGGTGAACCAGGAGATAGGCTCTGATAACAGACAAAGGTACTGTATACACGCCTGCCAAGCATACCAGATATTTACTTTGGCTTAGTAAAGTGCCCAATCCTCGGGCTAGATACTGGAATGAATGCTGTCACTTCAGTCGTGTCTGACTCTATGCGACCCTGCCAGCTGTCCATGGGATTCTCCAAGCAAGAATACTGGAGTGGGTTCCCATTTCGTTCTCCAAGATACTGGAAGGACACTACTAATATCCATCCGTCCCTCATTCCTTCTTTACAGATGTCAAAAAAATCAATCGAATTATAGCCAAGTCTTACTCTGGCCTATGAGTCAATCTATCTCTTCAAAGTGATTTTATGTATTACTATATCATTGACCCTATATTCAATTTACAACTTAACTCTCCGAGGGTAACTAATTTCTCCAAGGCCAAGAAGGTGGAGCGCCAGACATAAATCTCACCACTGCCCACACGAACCACAAAAAAATACCATTAGCCAAACACAGCAACAATACATTTACTATGTTTATAAACAAACCTAGAAAGCAGTACACCTCTGATCCTTACACAGTAAATCTCAAAGAATACTTCCTTTAAATTCCTTCTAAATTAAACCAAAAATCTGAGTATGTAAAATGATTTTCAGACTTGAATGCTTTAGTAGATCCATAAAATCCTAAAAAGCTTATTGGGCAATGATTACCTAATTCAGACGTGGGGGAAAGAAAAGGCAGATACTTGCACATGAAGAAAGAATAATATCCAGTACAAAACTGAAAATGAAGGGAAATTCCTACAACTTCATTACCATTATTTCATAAGTATGATCACTTTGATGTTTCTTGTACTCAAATCCTCGCGTGAAACACTGCAAAAGAAACGAAAATTAAGTTACCAAAAAGTTACATTTTGAAATGCTTTCTTAAAGGATAGAAGATGACTTGTGGGTATTTTACTCTTCAGTGAGTTTTTAAGAATTCATTTACTCTTGTTTGCAGCCACAACTCAAAGGTTAGGTTCATGATCACAGCTTTTCAATGGCCCTCACAGAGGAAAAAACAACAATCTCGGCAAAAAGACTTATTCCTAGGATAACTCCTCCTTTTAGAAGAGCATAAGCCCTGGAAGCAGACTGCCTAAATTTGAATCCTTGCTCTTAGTGTATCTCAGCAATTCTAAGATATATTTTGTCATATTTTAAAACTCTGAAATGTGGATTCATCTTATAATAAAAGGTATATTACAACTTCCATCAGCCATTTTTACACTTTAACATCTCTAAACTGGGATGTTTCTTTTAATCAATAGCATTCTGGATCTGATAAAATATGGTATTTGCTGTGTGACCCTGAAGCAATTATTTAACCTCTCTCTGGCCGAGTCTCCTTTGTAAAATAGGAGTACTAATCACTACTTACTTCCTAGGGCTGCAGTGATGATTTAAAAGTTAATTCATGCAGAGTACTCAAAACAGAGCCTGGCACAGAGTAAGCACTTATCAGTACTGCTATTACTATCATCATCGACAGAACACTGTGTTCCTTTGTCACCTGCCCAAACATCACTCTTCAGTAAGATAAAAAACAGTGTCACAGGGGCTATCAAAAGGAATAATACTCCAATTCTACTTCCTGTAGCCCCAATACTTGAAATCTACTGGCAAAAACAGCATTAGGTTGATGAGGAAGTGGAATACTCAACAGAATATCTCATCCATTGTGCTCTGTTCTCTAATTTTTCACTGGTAAATGTGTAATTAAAGACTGACTGGAAAAAATAGATTTAACAAGGTACGGTCCTTCTGAGCAACTGACAGTCATCACTGAATTTACTATGCCTATAAAACTAGGCAAGCCTTCCCTTTAGTTACCTGTAAGCAGAGGAAAAAAGGAGGTGGACCACATTCTGCACACTTGATATAAGGCTCCATGAGGTAGGAGGAGCAGCCTCGGCAAGGTGGCTTATCAGAGGGATCATCTAGAACATAAAGAAAAATTACTAGCTTTAAAACACCATATGACTATCTTCAGCACCAGAAGCGAGAAATCTGCAAATGATTACACAAGGTAATACACTGTGCTGACAAGTTCATGGAGACAAGATGAGCTCATTCCAAATAAGAAAACACAAAAATGATGTTCCTTTTTATTTCAGGGCAGCTTTGTTCCTTCCTACAATACCTACTATTTCAAGCATTTAAGTAGATATGGCACCTGCAGAGAAACAAACACAAGTTTTAACTGGACGTCTCATAATGCCCACAATTTATTTTCCCATGGGAAAAATAACGTCACATACCTACCTAACACATATACAGTTACAGATAAAGCCCATCTGACAGAATGTTAATAACTGCTGTATCTGGGTAATGGGCTACAAGTAATCACTGTACTGTTGTTTCAAGTTCTTTACAAGTTTGGAATTTTTCGTAATAAAAAGTTGGGGGCAAAAACTCTAATTATACATCTTGAGATATACTAATTTATACTTGAGTTGGGAGTTAAACCTAGGACAGCTCCTTCCCTTTCTCCCACAGTAAGCAGAGAGCAAAGCAGACCTTCCTCCAGTTCCAATGACAATACTGTCTCTGAAATACCAAGGCACGGAGTACAACTCAAACTCTCTAAAGTTATAAAAACCCACACATGTGTGTCCCTGGCTGCCCCAAACTGCCACTCTCCAGTCAGGGCAACATAGCAGAGTTGTTCTCTTGTGATCCACAGGAATCTAAGAACACAGGCTTTGAAGGTAGAGAAGGGATTTAATCTGTTTGGCCTGGGGCAAACATTTCTCACATTCTGTAATATAATGTTTCTTCCTAAAATCCAAGAAACACTCTTCAAGGCACCTTTCCCTCCTTTAAGTGGTGATTATTATTCTTTTCTTTTGTTTCTAAATGTAGACCTGTAGAAAGGTGACAGAGGAAAGAAAGGTAATCTTTCTGGCCATAACTTCAAAGTAAATATTTGGAACAGAAACTACCCCATTTCTCCCATTTAAAACAAAAATGATTTTATATTAAATGTCAATTTTTATCAAATTACCTTCTTCCTCACATCCTTTTAATGATACGTTTTTCTTTCCTCAAACTTTCTTCAATGATAACAAAAAAATTGACCAATGACTGACCTAAATAGTTTTTAAACTCTTGTGTCAAGAAGTAACTGTTTTACAAAAAATATTTAAAAAATTTTAGACAATAAAAGAATGTCACCCTCTATTAACATTCTGATTTCCAGCCTTTCTTCCTTGTATGTGTGTGTATATTTAACAAACGTGAGATACCACACGTTTTTATAGCCTGTTTTTTTTCCACTTGACAATATATTCTCAACGTCTATCACGACAGTACACATAGATCTCCCTTATTCTTTTTAATGGATGAATAATATTCCAGTATATCAATTAGCTAACCTAGTGGTTTTCAACTGCCTCCTAGGAAAACACTGTGTAAATCTGAGGAGATGCTTTCTTGTTGCCATAATGACTAGGGAGCACTACTGCACTTAGCAGGCAGGGACCAGGGATGCCAGACATCCTACAGCACTCAAGATATTACTACACAGAACTGGCCTGTCTACTGCACACTTTCAAATATCCCACCAGATGTTCAAGTAGGTGAAAACTTATTCATAATTACATGACCTGAAACCTAATTACACATAAGACAAAATGTTTTTGTTAGCTCTGATATGTATTCAATTTTCCAGGAAGGCAGCTGCAATCTCAAGAGGAGATTTTATCTTGCTGTGTTCAGAACTTTACTAACACTTAACTCAAGCTGTGGTAATTCTCAATCACCAGTGCAGCACGCCTGAGTCACTGTGCACTTGTGGCTGTGATATGCACAGTGATTCAACATATGAATGCAAGGGTCTGACGACTAAGGCATTATGTCTTCCACTGTAATGACTAAACATATTGAGATAGGTATTATTTTCTTATAAATTATGTTACTATATATTACTTCTTTTATTTATCCTTTATAGTTAGGGCATTATTTTTATTTCTTTGAAATCATGGGTATAGATATGTTATCTAGCATTTCATTTCCAAAGAGTAAAAGAGGCTTTAAAAACATAAAAATCAAACACGGAGTCTCCTAAGATTGAGAACCACGAGTCTAACCAGTTCCCTACTGTTGGGCATTTATGTTATTTCCAATTTTTCACTATTATAAAAAATGCTGAAGTCAGTGTTCCTGTACATTAGGTTGGTGCAAAAGTATTTACAGTTTTGCACTATTGAACCTTGCCATTTGATATTGGAATAATTCTTAAATAAATGTGGTTACGTTAGACAACATTTTAATGCACATTTCTTGCTTTATTTTTTTTTGCTAATGACTTAATACTTGCTATTTATTTTAGACTATAGAAATAATAGACAAAAAGCAAATTCAAGTGATTTTTTTATTCAAGTTCAAAATGGGTCGTAAAGCAGCAGAGACAATGCACATCAACAACACATTTGGCCCAGGAACTGCTAATGAACATACAGTGCAGTGGTGGTTCAAGAAGTTCTGCAAAGGAAACGAGAGCCTTGAAGATGAGGAGCACAGTGGCTGGCTATCGGAAGTCAACAACCAATTGAGAGCCATCATCGAAGTTGATCCTCTTACAACTATACAAGAAGTTGCTGAAGAACTCAATGTCGACCATTATATGGTCGTTTGGCATTTGAAGCAAATTGGAAAGGTGAAAAAGCTTGATAAGTGTGTGCCTCATGAACTGACTGAAATAAAAAAAAAAATCATCATTTTGAAGTGTCGTCTTCTCTTACTCCACGCAACAACAAACCATTTCTTGATTAGACTATGACATGCAATGAAAAGCGGATTGTATACAACAACCAGCAACAACCAGCTCGGTGGCTGAACCAAGAAGAAGCTCCAAAGCACTTCCCAAAGCCAAACTCCCACCCAAAAAAGGTCATGGTCACTGTTTGGTGGCCTGCTACCAGTCTGATCTACTACAGCTTTTTGAATCTCAGCAAAACCATTAAATCTGAGAAGTATGCTCAGTTTACTGATGAAATGCACCAAAAACTAAAATGCCTGGTATTGGTCAACAGAAAGGACCCAATTCTTCTTCATGACAATGCCTGACCGCATGTCGCACAACCAAGGTTTCAAAAGTTGCACGAACTGGGCTACAAAGTTATCTGCCATATTCACCCGACCTCCTGCCAACTGACTACCACTTCTTCAAGAATCTTGACAACTTTTTGCAGGGAAAATGTTTTCATAACCAGCAGGAGGCAGAAAATGCTTTCCAAGAGTTTGTTGAATCCCGAAACATGGATTTTTACATTGTAAGAATAAATAAACTTATTTCTTATTGGCAAAAATATGCTGATTTCAATGCTTCCTATTCTGATTAATAAAGATAACTTTGAGCCTAACTATGATGATTTAAAATTCATGGTCCAAAGCTGCAATTATGTTTGCACCAACCTAATATATAACATTTCACATTTTGTTCCTCAGGATTTCTATTTTCCTATAGCTAAACCTGTTGAGTATGCAGAAAGTTTCTGATACATAGAGCCAAATTATCCCTCACAAAGGATTCCAGAACTTTGCTGCAACCTAGGAGGAGGGAAAGACTTTTTTTTAACAATCACTCAAAATCCAGAGGCAATAAGGGAGTAATAAATTTGACTACATAGATAAACAAAAATCTCTTTTTTGGCAAAAAAAAAAAAAATCATAAGTAAATATACAAAGCAAATAAACTAGAAGAAAATATTTGTAAACATATCATAGACAAAGGGCTAACATCTTAACATAGAAAGAGCCTTTAAAAACTGAGAGAAAGGAACTTCCCAGGTGGCACAGTTGATAAGAATCTGCCTGCCAATGCAGAAATCATGGGTTCAATCCCTGGGCCAGGAAGATTCCACGTGCTACACGTGCTGCAACTACTGGAAACCCAGGTACTTCCAGAGCCTGTGCTCTGCAAAAGAACCACGGCAATGAGAAGTCTGCACACCACAACAAATAGTCGTCTCCACTTGCTGCAACTAGAGAAAGCTTAAGAAAAGCAACAAAGACCCAGCTCAGCCAAAATAATTAATTAAAACAAAAAAAAACTGAGAGAAAAAAAGAACCAAAAATCCTATTGTGAAAGTCATGAAGATATAATTACGAAAAAGAGAGATGAGTATTGACCTTAAACATGAAGACATTCAACTTCCCTCATAATAAGAACAATCTTCAGAAAGTTCTCACCCATCAGACCGGCAAAAATTCAAAAGCTTGATAATATAGTTTCTCAACAAGCTGTGAAGAAATAGGCATCTTCATATATTGCCTATGGAAATGCAAAATGGCACAACTCCTATATAAGGGAATTTAGCAGTATCTGGTGATTGCAGCCATGAAATTAGAAGATGCTTACTCCTTGGAAGAAAAGTTATGACCAACCTAGATAGCATATTAAAAAGCAGAGACATTACTTTGCCAACAAAGGTCCATCTAGTCAAGGCTATGGTTTTTCCAGTGGTCATGTATGGATGTGAGAGTTGGACNAATACATTCATTTCATGAACCCCAGTGCCCACTGAAGCACTATTTACAACAGACAGGACATGGAAGCAAGCCAAATGTCCATGGACAGATGAATGGATAAAGTTGTTGCAGTACATATATACAATGGAATATTACTCAACCATAAAAAGGAACAAATGAGTCAGTTCTAGTGAGGCAGGTGAAACTAAGAGCCTGTTACAAAGAGTGAAGTCAGTCAGGAATGGAAAAACAAATACTGTATATTGACACATATACATGGAATCTAGAAAAATGGTACCGATGAACCTATTTGCAGGGCAAGAATAGAGACTCAGACACAGACAACAGACTTATGGATGCAGGAGAGGGTGGGATGAATTGAGAATGTAGCACTGAAATATACACATTACCATATGTAAAACAGACAGCTAATGGGAAGTTGCTATACAACACAGGGAGCTCAAACTCGTGCTCTGCTGACAACCTAGAGGGGTGTGATGGGTGGGAGGAAGGTTCAAGAGGAAGGGGACATATGTATACCTGTGGCTGATTCATGCTGATGTATGGCAGAAGCCAATGCTACATTGTAAAGCAATTATCTTCCAATTAAAAATAAATCTAAAAAAAATACATATATACATGTCTATTTGTCTTTGTGAAAAGAAATAAAGGACAGATAAACTAGAAAACAGTGAAGCTGGAAACCTATGAAGGGCTGAATGAGAGGGAATGGAATGGAGTGGAAGAGAAACATAAGGAGTAACAATTATACACACACATATATATATAAAACCTCCATAGTTTGACTTTTGTAAATATATTTATGTTCTACAAATTAAAAAATTAAATCAGTAAATATAGGAAGGAAAAACTGAAAGCAGAACAAACAGATAAACCCAAAAGTATTTCGAAAGAATACTGTAACCACAATGAGAACGGGGAAAAAAAAAGAACCAATCCAAGTAATTTATGAATATTTAACAGACCTTCAGTACTGGGTGATGCAGACAATTTTAAACAAATCCTGAATTTTTTGAAGTAGGTCTGCTTTATGTTGTGGTACCCATAAAGCAATTCTGAAATAATTTTGGATGTATTAAAAGACTGAGCAAATGTGCTGATGTTTTGGGAGCCAGGGTTTTCACTAATGAAAGGACACAAAATAAGGAAAAAACCTATAAACTGGAGGTATCAATGTGAACTCATGATTTCTTAAAAAGTGTTATCTATAGGTATATACATGTATATGTGAATATATATATTGGCATATATGTTTATAGCATATACACACATATATCTCTGAGCTCTGTGGGCCAAAAAAGCCAAGATGCCAACACACTCTAGCAGCAATAAGCAATGACCAGATCTTGGTTTCTAATGTCATTCCTCTCTAAAAGGACCAAGGACTTCTCAGAGAAGTGGCTAATTCCAGGGCTGGGTGATGGGAGTTAAGATGCACCTGGAACGCATAGCCATACCAAAAAGTAAGGAGATGCTCAACAAAGTGATGGAGGGTGGGGGCAAGTCACAAGGCTGCAAGAGACACCTTGAAGGGACTCACAGCAGTCAAATTAGGACAATCTGAGAACCAAAATAACTAAGTATGATAATAAATTATAAATCATTGAGAAAGCAGCAATCCATGTATCCATACTTAAACAAGTAAGTGAAATAAGAGGTCTCTTGACTACAATAAAATGCTAACTAATAAATATATAGAGAGTGCTGGAGTGCTGGGGTCTGGGGGAAAAAATCATTTTGTAACCATCATAGTAAATGCAAAAATCATCAATGGATGCTAACTAGGGAGAAATTCTGATGAGGAACAAAATATTTTATGGTCTAAGAAAGTGTCTTCTTATGGGCTGCTTATTATATGTAAGAGAAAAAAACAATTATACGGTTAAGAACTTAAATACACACCTTGACTGGGTTTTCAAAATTAGTGTCACTAATGAGGGACAGAGCAAGACCAGACAAACCCAAAATGAGACACCTTTATTTTTAAAAAGGGAGAAAAAGGCCTGATTCCCCAAAAGTATCAGTCACTAAAGACAAAGGCTGTGAAAATGTTTCAATTTAAAGGAGTTAAACTTAATGCAAGACATGACCTCTGACTGTATCCTGTATGGGAAGGAAGGAAGAAAAACACCATAAAGGACATTACTGAGTCAGCTGACAAAACTGGAATACAGATGGTGGGTTAGAGAAAAATATTTTATCAATGCTATCTTACAAAAGTTAGTAAATCTACTGAGGTTAGAACAGAATATCTCTAATCTTAATAAACAAACACTAAACTACTTGAGGGTAAAAGCCATGACGTATGTCCCTTAGCCTCAAATGATTCTGGGGGAAAAAATGGAGTATGTTTACTTATATACACATATTTACGTAAGTAAATGTGTGTATTTAGAGAGATAATATATGCAAATAAGGTAAAAGGTTTACAAAAGGTGTATGGGGATTCTTTGTACTATTCTTCCAACTTTCCTATGAGTTTGAAATTATTACCAAATCAAATTTTTAAAGTTCAGTTTACAAATTATTTTAAAAATTATTTTTAAAAGGTAGACTGTCTTCAGGTTACACTCTCAGCATGAGGATAATTCATTTAGGTTTTCTTTGTATATAAAATGAGATTTAAACTAGATGTGCCTGAAAACTCCACTCTGTCCTAAATTTATATAGGGAGTGTGATGAGTAAGCAAATTAGACTTCCCCTTAAGAAATCGCTTAAGAGTCTACACTCCAAATGTGCCTTTCTAATTCATCTCATTGGGATGCTACTAACATCTAACAGTGTATTTTTATTTCTGCCAAATCTCTTATCTTCAGAATCAGAGAAAAAGTAATTTTTTTTTCCTCCAGTTATGGCTGCCTGGATTTATTTCACACATACTCCATAGTTCTCTGCACTATTATTACACTGTAGCTTACTCTGAGAATACAAGTTCTGCTAAAAACAGAGGGCAGGAGCATTTCCTTTATTCCACCATTGACATTATTTCTTACCAAAGCACCTGAAATATGTTATTGGTTCTAAAGCTAAATTCCAACTGCTTTTTTCAGTTGAACTATGGGTTAATCATACTATGCATGGTCCATCTGAGCTTAGTTTTCTTATAAGACCTAGGGTGATATGTTTGTGTCAAGTGTTCAGTGGGCAACCAGTAGTATTGGTTGATTTTATTTTGATTTTATATTCTTATTCTTTTAGGATCATATTCAAATGGCTTTGTTTAACTTCAAAGTACTTATTTTTCTTCTTTGATCAACTTCTACTTTAGTTTACCATGAATATTAACCTGGGACTTGTTCCCACAGTACTTACTGCTAAAGGAACCCAATCGGTCCATTCTCCAGTTGGCAAAGACTCTGTTGTTTTGATCTTCTTTAATCTGAGTTGCTTCAAGGAGATTTCAGAACCTGCCAACACATACACCAAAGCTGATGACTGCTCCCTGTGAACAAACAGAAGTGGCACCTGGATAAGGAAATAATTCAAAGGGACAAGATAAAGAGAAAATAACGCAATGTACTCAATTGTACCACATCCTAGTTTTGTTAAGGCTAAGCAAATTATTTTACCTCTATAAGCTCGTTTCCTCCTCTGTAAAATGGATATGCTACAATCATACCTACCTCCTAGAGCTGTTGAGGGTTAAATATCAAAAGCCACATAAATAATATACCATAGTGCCTAGCCCATACTAAGTCCTCTATAAAGGCTACACAGTTCTAATAAACAACAACTGATTTTCTCTGCCTGGCATCACTTCTCTCCTTAGCCCACCATCCTTTGGAAAACTGACTCTCCCACATCTCATAAGGCTTTGGTGGGATTGTGAATCACAATACTCTATCCTCCACCTCCACAGCAGCTAAAGCAATCCAATCTGGTCTTACAGAAACTTGAATATTGAGTAAGATACACAAGGACAGAGGGTAGCTGGAGCTCAGTCATTCACTAGCCAAAGAATCTGGTCCATGAGATCTGGCTCTTTGAGATTCTCATCCCCAAGGGCGGCCTAACTGTTTAAGTTTTTTTTTTTTTTCTCATTTCTCTATCTTTTCAATAATACTTTAATCTGAATGAACTGCTATTACGAGAAAACTTAGGAATCCAATCTGTTACAACATACATTTTGTTCACTAATTTATTATTTGAACAAATTTTTTTCCCCTATATTTATTTGATTGTGTTGGGTCGTAGTTGAGGCCTGCAGGATCTAGATCCCTGACTAGGGATCGAACCTGGGCTCTCTGTATTGGGAGTGAAGAGTCTTAGCCATTGGACTTCTAGGGAAGTAGGTATGTACAATATACCAAGTCACCTTTTTGAACACATAAATGAACTCCTATCTCACCCTAAGCAAAAAAAAATCCCCCCTTTCTAATCTCCCATAGCCTTTTATCTCTCTCTCTCTTTTCTTCAGCATTGTTTACATTCTTCTTTGTGAGAATTACTTCTGAATACATTTTTCCCACTCCTAAACTAACGAAAGCAGGGACCACATCAAATACAAATTTGTATGTCTTAAAGTATTTGGTACATAGTGCCAAGCAGAAAGAATTCAATAAACACAAATGTTACGGACAAATGAGGGCTTCTCAGGTGGCTCAACGGTAAAGAATCTGCCTGCTAATGTCAGAGATACGGGTTTGAGTCTGCCACGACTTAGTAACTAAACAACAACAATGGACAAATAAATATTAGTTCTACAAAAAGATTAGTTTATCTTTAGTTCTCCGACAGTGACTTTTTTCACCTGACAGTTTTAGCTTAGAATAAGTCATCATTAAGTATATACAACGCTCAGATAACGCTTGTCAATGAACTTGTCTTCTTCAGGATGAGTCGGAGTGGTTCTCCCTCTGCTCCAAACCCGAAAAAATGTGTCTGAAGAAACACAAGTTCAGTAAAAGATATTGTGCACTCAGTAACAAAACAATGGCAGTTGCTCAGTCATGTCCGACTCTGCGGCCCCATGGCCTGTAGCCCACCAGGTTCCTCTGTCCATGGGATTTTCCAGGCAGGAATACTGGAGTGGGTTGCCATTCCCTTCTTCACGGGACCTTTCCCACCCAGGGACTGAACCCGGGTCTCCTGCACTGCAGGTAGAATCTTTACCATCTGGGACACAAATAGCAAACATTTATTAAGTTTTCTCATAAGCTAGACACTGTGGCACCACTATATGTGGATTATCTGTGAATCCTTACAATCTTCTGAGGCATGGAACTTTTTCGTTCTGTTATTTATTTTTTTTGGCATGGAACTTTTTCAAGGAAAGAAGCCCCGAAAGATTATTCGCACAATGTGTTACAGTTAGTGAACAGCAGCGTCACTTCAACAGAGATTAATAGAGATGGGTAACTAAAAGATGTATATAGCCTCATAAATGCTCCATGTTGTAAGCACAATACTGCAGTAAGCAGAATATTCTTTCTCCACTCCGTTCTTCTCACTGGAGACACTACTGACGCTAACATCCACGAAAAGGTGGATGCTACCTCCAAGTTAACATTTGCCAAAGTTCAAGAAGTTACTGGGAGGAAGAGGAAAGGGGCGTGAAGAGCCTTTCCTCCTCGGTGTGGTGCAGAGGACAGGGGCAGGCTTGCAAGAGATTCGCAGACAAGATTCGAAGACTCACTTGGTCCCCATTAACTATATGACCTCTGGCGTCATTTTACTGGAGACTCAGACAACCTCAGCTCTATAGACACGAAATATCTACTTGGAAGGCCTATCTGAAAACAAGGGGTCACGTCAGCCCTTTGTTGAGAACGGGATTTCGCACTCCACCACAGCAACGACAGGTATGCCGAGGCGGGGACCCAGCGGGCCGTTCAGGGGGCGGGGCGCACCGGGCTCGAGGCGGGGCGCGGCCCCAGGGCTCAGTCCCGGCCCATGTTGCCCTCCCCCACCGGGCCGCGTGGCCCAGTGCCGCCGTTTTATCCGCTCCAAAGTGCGCTGAGCCGGAGCGGGCCAGTACTGCCCCGCCTTTGTGTTTTCTGACATTCCCACTCCCACCCTTGTTACAGCCTCGAAGGAGATCGAGGCTAAGCGCCTGGGCCCAAGGACGGCGAGCGGGGGTGGCCTCTCGAAGCCGGGTCTTGCAGTGCCGCTCGTGGATTAATCAGACTGCCTGAATGGTTTAAGGGTACACTGGGTACGTTTGATTCAGATGCTCCTGGAACGTCGAAATTATCATCTTTGGAAAGAACCATCCCCTCTTTGGGCTTCAGGGGCCCAGATTGAGGCGCGATGATGAGAGGATGTGGTGGTCCACTCTGATGTCAATCTTGAGGGCTAGGTATGTCCCGACATCTCTTGTTACTACTACTAATTGTAATAGCTGCCATTTGTTGGGTATTTAGTGCATGCCAGGTATTGTACAAAGGAGGTTGCAAACATGGTCTCATTTAATCTTAAGAAACAACCTTGTGGGGTAGACACTCATTGTTACCATCCCCATTTTCCCAGTGAAAACCTTTAGAAGCTGCCTTGTGAATAACTTGGGATCACATGCTAGATCACGTATGGAAAGGGGATTCAAACAGTTGCTGGGCTTAACCATTATGCTACTACATCTGTTTAAGTCTTTCATTCATAAATTTGCCGAACCTCTTATAGAATTCATTTACACTTTCTGCCAGCGTGGCCTCTTTTTCTTTTTCTTTTTTTTTAGTATCTGAGTCATACAAGTTCATTCTAAAAAAAAAAAAAAAGAATATTTGCATGAGCAAAAATAATGTGAAAACCAGCTCCCCCCATGTAATTTAACATTTTGCTATACACTGTTTTAGATATTCTTTGACATATCATTATTGACATGATATGCTTCATGTCAATAAATATAGAATAGTTTTACATATGTTGTATCCTGAAAATCTGTTTATTCATTCATTAATCAGATATTTAATGAGAAGACACTGTTGTACATGCTGGGAATTCAGCAGTGAATAAAAATTTCTGCCTCATATAATAATGGGGGAGATTGACAATAAGCAACACATAAACTGTATTACTATGTAATAGCTAATGCCCAATAATGTGCCAGGTTTTTTAAAAAATCAAGACAAAGGGATAAGAGTAATGGGATGATGCTGTATTAGATGGGGCAAACAAGAAAGGCCTCTACATCACAAGCTGAAATCTAATAATTAATGACGGAGGTAGCTGTGTGGATTTCTAGAGAGAAACTGTTCTAGGAGAAAAGAAATGGCAATTAAAATAGCCCAGATTGCTTGGCATGTTGGAGAAGAAGCTAGAAATTAGAGAAAGAAATTGTGAAATAGGCAGAAGACAGATCATGTATCTGGTAAGCCACTGTTGGACTTTGGATTTTATTAGAATGTGACAGAATACCATGGAAGGGTTGAGAACAAAGAAATCATCAGATTTGTTTTCATTGCAGCCTTGGATTACTGAAAATGAAAGTTGCTCAGTCCTGTCTGACTCCTTGCGACCTCTTGGGATTCTCTAGGCCAGAATACTGCAGTGGGTAGCCTTTCCCTTCTCCAGGGGATCTTCCCAACCCAGGGATTGAATCCAGGTCTTCTACATTGCAGGCGGATTGTTTATCAGATTTGTTTTAAAAAGAATCACTGGTAGTTATGTGGCGAATAGATAGTAGAAGCATTAAAATTGCCCTTTCAATCATCCATTTTTAACAGTGTACTGGTGTTTCACCAACATCTTTACAACCACTCTCACCTCCACAAACAGAAACTGGCATCAAACCTTTAGGACTTATCTTCATGTTTTTTTCTCCTAAACTGAAAGTTTTTGATACTGGCTAGGGCGTATATCCAGATCTGGACGTCGTCATTGTCAACAAACTGAATATGAGTCATCAGTGTTGTACTGTTGTGGATAAACAGTCCCACATGATGCAGGGATCTATTCATTAGAAACACAGCATTCAAGCACCTGGAAATTACCCTTCCTCTTCAACTGATGTTAGGCCCTCATTAGAATTCTAAGCCCCAATTTAGTCATTGTGTTTAAGAAAGATGTGGAGAAATTAAAAATGCATAGTGAGGGGAAGGATAACAGTGATGAAAGCAGTGCTTTTCTCAGTTTCTGCCTTCAGCATTGCAGTGGCATCAGTTATAACATGAGGAACACAAATTTGGAGGAGAAATGAAAGATTCTGTTTCAGATCTGCTTTGCAACCTGCATATGGAAATGATATAAATAAGTTTGAAGCTAAGAGGAGAGACCAGGGCTACAACGGTTTAACGGTATTAGAACTGTTTCTTTGGATATAGGTTTTCTTGGTAACCTCAGTACCCAGAAGAACCTCCTGGACAAATATTTGCAAAATGAACAGGTAAAAGCAAAGGCATGTGTGAAGTTCTCAGGCAAAAGAAAGATTGTGTAAGGTAAAAAGAGGAAATGTCCAGTTTATGCTTTCACCAGAGGGCCATGCACCTGAGCATGACCTCTGAGTAGGGTGATAAGTCCCTATTTGCTCGGAACAGTCCTGGTTTAAACCTGTTGTCCCCATATAATCAGTGAGGTTGCATTTCACTCTTAGAAGTGTCTCTCTTTGTACAGTAAATTATATGGTCACTCTTTGAAGAAGACCCTTCAGGGTCCAATGTCTTTCTCTTTCTTTGTCATTTTTGCCCCCATCTTATTCTTCATTCTCCCACCAGGTAGAAGTACCTCCTTTTGCCCCTAGACACTACCTCCAAGTTTCCTTTGCCAAGGTACCTTCACTTCAACTTAGACTTCACTTCCTCAGGTACATCTCTTCTGACCTCCTCAAGTCTGGATCTAGTGCCCCTCTTACATGCGTCCCAGTGCACCCTCTGTTTAACCTGTCCTGGGAGAGACAACTCAGTACCTTGTTGCCCCCTCACTAAGCATTGTCTGCGAACGAACCTGAAAAAAACAACTCTTGTCCCCTTGAAGACAGAAAGTTACATTAACGTTATTAAGACCAGTCCCTGTTGAACTAATATTTTTAAAGAGTGACCTTCAGGACAGACTAATAGCACCTTCTCCAAGCCCTTCCATTCTTCACTAACTGAAGAGGTTGACTTTTGAACTCAAAGCCCAACAAAGAAAACTCCATCCTCCCATCAGGCTCTGTAATGTGGCTACCATTGATTGAGTCCAAAATCTGCCCAAAACTCCTCTCCCTCCACTAAATCGCAGTGGTTAGAATCCGAGTGCAGTTTCTGAGCCTTCCTTCCTATGAAAATGATGATCTGTCATTTCTAGTTACCATGTCGTGAGTGCTGAAAGACTAGAAACTTGATCTCCTCTTTTATTTATTTTTCCTGTATCTAAGGTGGCTGTTTGTACTGTGGTATACAAATAGATAAAAACAGAACATCTAAAAATCTAGCCATGCTTTCCCCATTTCAACTTCCTTCCCTTTAAACTCAGATAATGCTGGTCAATGTAAATTAGCCAGAGATTTAGTTCCGGGAGCAGAGCTCTGTGCCAAATACAAGGTCTCTTAAAAGCAAGGAGTTTCCTGTGATGCACTCAGTAGAGACGGCTCCACTCCACCAAAGGCCTGAGCCCAGGGATTGCAGCTCCTTAGGGTTCAGCTCTTTGAGTCCACACACTAGGAGCCTGGCATACTGCAGTCCATGGGGTCACAAAGAGTTGCACACGACTTCACAACTGAACAACAACAACAACAAAAAACTGACTCCACCACGGCCCAGCTCAGGGCTGGTCCAGCCTCTTCGGCCTCTGTTGCTGCCTCTTCCATTCAGGAGTGTTTCGATCCTCTTGTTTTCATTTGCTCCGTCCCTCCATATCTTTCTCCTTTTGTGGCCACCCTAGTCAAAGGAGTTAGGGAATAATAGTATTCCTTCTAGGAGGTTCCTAGATTGCTTTTTTTTTTTAATTAACTGATTTTTAAATTATTTATTTCTTTGTGGCTGTGCTGGGTCTTGGTTGCTTCGGGTGGGTTTTCTGTAGTTGCAGAGAGTGGAGGCTTCTGTTCGTTGCAGTGCACAGGCTTCTCACTGCAGTGACTTCTGTGGTTGCGGAGCACAGGCTCTAGGGCTCAAAGGCTTCAATAGCTGCGGCACATGGGCTTGTTTCGCGGCATGTGGGATCTGCCAGGACCAGGGATTGAACCTACGTCCCTTGCTTTGACAGGAGGATTCTTAACCATTGGACCACTGGGGAAGTCCCTTTTTTTTTAATTTACTTTTATTGAAGTATAGTTAAATTACAGTGTTAATTACTGCTGTACAACAAAGTGACTCAGTTACACATATATATATACACGTAAATACATTGTTTTTCATATTCTTTTCTATTACATTTTATCATAGAGTATTGAATATAGTTCTCTCTGCTCTACAGAAGGACCTTGTTACTTATCCATCCCATATATACGAATTTGCATCTGCTAATCCCAAACTCCCACTCTCACCCTTTTCCTCCCCACTCCCACCTCGCCACCACCAGTGTATTCTCCATGTCCCTGATTTAGGTTCAGTTGCTAGACTCCTCTTCTCACTTGATCACCCTCAACCATGACCATTCTGCCGAGGAAGGATTGAAGTACTTTTGCTAATCTACTTAAAGAAATATAAGGTCTATATAGTTTCTCTACACAGCAGTGTATCTGGGGTGCTTCTGCATAAGTAAGGACTCCCTAAAGTTTCCAAGTGGCGCTAGTGGTAAAGAATCTGCCTGCCAATGCAGGAGACGTAAGAGACGTGGTTTTGATCCCTGGGTTGAGAAGATCCCCTGGAGAAGGGCATGGCAAACCCACTCCAGTATTCTTGCCAGGAGAATCCCATGGACAGAGGAGCCTGGTGGGCTACAGTCCATAGGGTCACACAGAGTCAGACATGACTGAAGTAGCTTAGCACTCATGCAGAGATCTCAAAAGTGAACAAGAAGGAACAGGTTCTGCTAAAAGACCCTATTGCAACCCATTCTTCAGATAAGGAAAAATGAGGTGCAGAGAGGTAAAACCTCTTACCCTAAGTCATTCATTTCCTAGGTAGTACAGCCAGAATTAAAATCAGATCTGTCCAAATGTAATTAATAAACTCCCTCTGGCTATTCAAGCTAAAAAGTTAGCAAGTTTTAGGATTTTTATAATCCCAGGGTCATTAAGGCTGATTTTCATGAATCTAGCCCTTTGCTACCCATCTCTTCTGCCTCTTCCTCACCTCACTGATGTTTTAATTTTTGGCCACACTGTGTAGCTTGTGGGATCTTAGTTCTCCTGTCAGGGATGGAACCAGGGCCCTGGCAGTGAGAGCGCCAAGTCCTAAGCCTTGGGCTGGCAGGCAGTTCCCTCCCTGTCTTCTTTTTGATCTC